TGTTCAACCACAAGCGCTCACACCCTAGAGCACTTGCAGCTTGCGGCATCATGAGCAGCATGATGTTTTCATTCTGATTACACTGTCATTGCTATCATGATATTATTGTTTCTACTTGGGTCATACTGTCATTGTGATCATGATATTATCGTTTCTATTCATACTGTCATTATCATGATGGTTGGCAGCTGCCCAGGGGGGAAAACTTATGATACCATTGTATGATGTCATTGTATTTCTGCTTCTTGGGTTTTCTCCCGCCGGGCACCTAGTAGTAGTAGTAGTAGTAGTAGCAGTAGTAGTAGTAGTAGTAGTAGTACTAGTAGTAGTAGTAGTAGTAGTAGTAGTGGTATTAGCAGTAGTAGCAGTAGCAAGCAGTAGCAGTAGCAGTAGCAGGAGCAGTAGCAGTAGCAATAGCAGTAGCAATAGCAGTAATTAGTAGCAGTAGTAACAGTCCTGCCTGAAGGATCTGGAAAGCCTTCCGGTCCAAGGGTCTGACACGAGAAGACACCAAGTGCTATAAAGCGAAGTCGGCCTCTTGCCACTTTCCCTTTTGCCCCAAAGCCGCAAGGGCGGCGTTCGCTGCCTACTGTAGGGCCAATCCAAAAGACACACAAAATGCGAAGCAGATTTCTGCAGAAGAATACTTCTGTCAGCCTTCTTGCCAAATCCGGTTGAGGCTTTCAAGGACAGGCGCATGCGAGGGGCAGCTTATTCCCGTCGCCTGCTCCTGTCAAGCAAAGTCGCCAACAACACGAATGCCTGTCTCGGACATGTGTGCACTGTGAGCCTTGGCACCTCTCATGCCGCAGTACAAGGCCATGGCTTGCTGGGACGCACAGTACCCTCTATCTTCAAAGCCCGCTGCTTCGACATGCTTCGTGCGCATTGGCAGAAGGCTGGCAAGGAGCACCAATGTTCAGCACATGTGATGATTAAAAACAACTGGGATGTGCACTTTTCTCTTCACTTCGCACAAGCCTCCTCTGACAGGCTCGGGACCTGCTCTCGCCGAAAGCACTGCTTTGAGCTTTCGCTGATGAAGTCCGCGGGAACCGACGGCAGGAACTGCAGAGCATTGCAGAGTCATGCAGCTGCAGCGCTGCTGGTCCGGATACTTGAGCAAGCATTATCCCATATCATCCCGCCTCTCCCTGCACACGCTTTGATCCGGGTCGAGCTCCTGCATGACACCCAGCTCTCGGCACACTTTACATCAATTCTGGCCAACATGCCTTCCAAGAAAGATGCGGCAAGGGCCGCCGGCAAGATCCAAAGCCTGCAACCAGATTCTCACCACAGCTACCCAACAAGGCAGTCTAAAAACAAAACAGGACAGTTCTGCGGGTGCATGGATGCCAGCGAAGCTGGCATGGGGTTGGGAGAGCTGAGACCATATGGCGGCGCAGCGGAAGGTAGATCCTGCAGACAAGGCCGTGCTATCTCATGCCCAACAAAACCCCTCCGGCAGTCCCCGTAAGCAGCTGCGGTGGGGACGCCAACGGGAGCCACATTGTAGCCTAGTTGTTGCTCGAGTGTGTTTATTGTTTTCTGGTGTCATCAAGTAGCCCTCTCTGAACTTCAAGCTCCGTCTTGCAGGCTTTTGGTATTTCCCTCGAGCTAGAGAAAACAACCAAGGGTGCCACCCAAGGACTGCGCAACTTGTGCAGCTGCGGCCTGGCAAGTCTTGCCATCTGCAAACGGCAACGAGCGGAACCGCACATGGTCAGATTGCGCGAGATCCGGGAGAAGGCCGAGCCAGGCCCAATGCCTGCTGCGCACTGACCTGCGCCACCTGCGCCTGCGTGGCCGCTGCCTGCCCAGCTTCCAGAGGAATAGCCCTGGCTGCTGAAAGGAGCGACTTAGATTCCTGGCAGCTTTGCTTCCGGGGTTCTTAGCTACCTTTGACGACTACCCTCTGCCTGTTGAGCCTTGAGCATACCGTGGAGAAGTGAAAACGGAAGCCAGAGCGATCCAGAGCGGCTGAGCCTGGCCTGTGCGGCCGCAGCCTGGGCTGCCGCCACCTCGGCAGCTTTGGCTGCTGCAGCCTTAGCCGCCACAGCCTCGGAGTCTCGAGGTTTTTCAAAGCGGGGCAGGGCATGGCAGAGCTGTTCGTTGCCTGCGTGCTGGCGGTGTAGGCATGCTGGGCCCACCTTGGATGGGATTTGTTGACATGTGGTGGCGCTGAAGGCCTTAACTACAGCTCCCCTTGCTGCGGGCCAGCGGCTGGGCCGCCGCAGCCGATGGTGGTGGTGGCAAAGGCATCACTGGAGGCATCTGCACCTGACTGACGGAAGCACAGGAGCGAGAACCAGCTTTCATGCTTCAGCATCTGCAGGGAGCACCGATGCATCCTTCGCCTGGAATGATGTTTGTAGCATCCATCCTGCCGTGGTGCCCTTGGCCGGCTGGTGTGTTGCTGAAACGACTGTGCACACAACAACAGCCATCTTGCACTTCACTTCGAATATAATTAGTCAGGCAATGCCCTCGATGGGGCTGCAACTCGTGGCAATTCCAACAGCTTGACGCCTCAGCACCAAAATATTTAGAGATATTTGGCGCAAAGAGGTCTTCTAAGGCAGTTGCTGGCCATCTCACTGATTGGTCTCAGAGCATCATTATGGCGCCAAAAAAAACTAAAGACGTTGTATGCATTCCATTGCAAGGATTTCTAGGCTCCCAACCCAGCCATCAAAACAGGGCTGCAAATCCATCCACTTAGCCTGCGAAGGGACTTGAGCTGTCTTGTTGACAAGGCCTCCGATTCGTACACACAGCATTCTCCGTGCTCCAACCTGTTGCCACAGGGAGTCGAGGCACGTACGTCTTTGCGATGCCTCTGAGCCCTTTTGGGTTCATGGTGCAGGTTGCGTTGCAGACTCAGACTCAACTCCTCGCAGTGGATTCGCGCTTTCCATGGTTTCTGTTTACCTCTCGTCAAGCAAGCTGGCCGAAGCAGGCCCGCTTTCAGGGCTCGCCTCAGCCACCCTGGATACCACCGGAAAAACAATGAACTTGCGAGAAGCTCTTGTTCGTGGCATCCTCATCCATTAGCGGTCACAAAACAGAACTGCAAGAGAATCGCAGGCTGCTCTGCAATAACGTGCAATCTGCCTGCAGTGCAGTGGGATCAGTAGTTTCGCGTGGTTCTCTGGAGGTTCAGCACCGCATGACTGCATGCAGAAAGAAGCCAACAGAAACAGAAGAGCTGCTCAGCAGCACAACGCGTTCAGTTCAGAGCGGTGTGTTGTCCTCCTTGGGACCAGTGGCAGCTTGCTTGCAAGTTAAAGCTCCATGACATGATCTAACAATCAGCTATGACCTATAAGGGGCTGGCCTTAGGAGGCGGAAACCTCTCCTGAGTGCGCAGAATGGCAGGTCGAGGGGGGTCAGACAGACACTTGACACTCAGGCCCAGGTGATCTTATCACGTCCAAGGTGCTGAAGTGGTCTTGGCCACGCGGCCAGGTACTTTGAGCTGCGGATGACTTCCATACAGCCTAGTCTAGGAACTCTCACAAAGCAGCCCGTGTACAAAGGTGAGATCCTTCACATGTCTGCACTTTAACATGGCTGCGGCCTAGCATCGTGCTGGGCTGCAAATACTGTCCCGGTCCCGGCTGATCTGACGTCTTGGTGATGCCAGAGCTCCGAGGAATCATGCTCCAAGCAGGTGCTCGGGGTCTGATTTCATTGTACCTTTGCCAGCGTCCAGGAAAGAACTCACATGATCTTGCGCAATATTTCTACTTACAATAGTTGCTCCTGAAAATCTCCACTCCGTCCCCTCAGAGAAATTCCGCAACTTTTGCCAGGACCAAGGCACTTGGAGCTCATATCACCTGCCATACCGCCTTCTTCCGCTTGCTTTGCGTTCTTGAACTGCGATCCGAAAGCCACCTTTGGCCGCATTGTGAACTTGGGCGCAGATGCCTGGTCCACACGACCAAACTTGTGAGTTTTGTCAGGCCCAGAGCACACAATGTCATAATCATGCGGGCTGGGATTGTTTTTCATCTCCCCCAACTGGTCTGTTGGTCCCGTTCGGCGCTGTGTGGACTTGCACACCCTGCCGGGCACTGGCAGTTGCGGGTGTGAACCATACAGTGTGCTGGGCTGCGCATACTCACCCGGTCCCGGCTGATCTGACGTCTTGGTGATGCCAGAGCTCCGAGGAATCATGCTCCAAGCAGGTGCTCGGGGTCTGATTTCATTGTACCTTTGCCAGCGTCCAGGAAAGAACTCACATGATCTTGCGCAATATTACTAGCTAGCTGCTCGTCTTGAATAAACTTTTGAGTCGTTTAACATAACAATAGAATCCAATAAAGCAAAGTGGAACAACGGTTCAAGTCCAGGCACTTGGAGCTCATGTCAGGAGACATTCCACCTTCGTCAGCTTGCTTGGATGACTTGAAGGGAGACCCAAAATTGGTTTTCGGGCGCATGCTCCATCGCGGCGGGAGATCAATCGAGTTCTTGTAGGCTTGGGCGACCTGGTAGCCACGAGCTGGCGGCGCGCTGCCAGACCGCTGCAGATTTTTTTTCTGGGAGGGCGTTTCGCGCGAGCGTGGCGCTGGTTTCGCGGCCTCGCTTGTCTCTTCTGCTTTCTGAGGCTTCTGGAGAGGCTCCTCTGCTGGCGCAGCAGGCCAGGGTGGTCTGGCCGGGGCTGACTGTGCTTCAGTCGCTTCTGCCACTGCTTCACCAGCTACACCCTCTGTCGCTGCAGGTGCTACGTGATCCTCTGCAAGAGGGGCTGCTGCGGAAACTTCGGCAGAGGACTTCGTGGTTTCAGCCGTGGCTTCAGCCGTGGCCTCGGCCGTGGCTTCAGCCGTCGCCTCGGCCGTGGCTTCAGCCGCAGCTTCAGCCGCGGCTTCAGACGTGCCTTCAGCGGGTGGCCCTTCAGCTGCCTCAGCTGGGTCAACTAGCAGACTCTCATTACCTGCTGGTTCTCTGGGCTCTGTCAGCTGAAGATTCTCGTCTTCGGCTTTTGGGCTTGCGCCTTCATCTGTCTGAGCCTGCACAGCTCCGGCGGCTACAGGAGCCTCTGGCAGCGTGGCTGCAGCCACATCGCTGGGGTCTGTGGGAGCCTCGAGGGGTGCAGGTTTGTCTGCTGCCTCTTCTGCCTCTGCTGCGTCTGCGCCTTCAGCTGAGGCTGCTTGGGGCGATCTTTCTGCCGTGGCAGTCTCTGCTACTTCGGGTTCTTCAGGATGCACATCTCCTTGAGGATCTTCTGAAAGCGGAAGTTCCGGAGTCCTGAAAGTCTATAACAAGCTGATCCACATGCAGCACAATTACCTACGCTGCGCGATCTATGGCCAACAGTGTTCGCCAGTATAATCAGTGCAATCATGTTTCCCTCCATCTGCAGCATACTCCGCAGGAGCCGTTTCTGGCGCTGCTTCTAGCTGCACTTCTTGCTGTGGATCCGGTGGCTGAACATCATCCGCTGAGGCTGGTGGGGCCTGACCCGTGTTTGCATTCTCTACATGAAGAAGACACTATGAATGGCCTCCGGCCTAACAGTGTCTCAGACAGATTCAGACCAAGCCAGCTGCAAACTTTCCCAACACAACACACATACGCACACACACGCACCGTGTCTTTCCGGCGTCTAGATAGGGGCGGCTTAAGGCTTTTAAGATCTAAGGAGGCTGCTGGAGCTGAGACCTTGACCTGGACTTGCAGGACTCTCCTTTTACCCACTGCTCCCGTTGACTCCTACTGACTGGCTGCAGACAACAGATGCGGACTAGTACTAGCACCTACTAGCACCACCTGATTTTACAGACATGGACCGAGCCTCTTCTGCCATGTGCACGGCCCGCGCCGCTCTCTATGGGCTATGCAGGCTTGAGATTGTCGAGATCATTCAACGTCCAGTAAGCTTGAAACCTAGTTTGGGCTTGCCGTGTGCACGCAAACAGCGCTACACACGGCCGAGGGGCCCACTTGAGCACTTCTGCAGCGAGCAAGAGGACTCTTACTCATGGCGCTGTGTGTAATCACAAGCTCATGACATACCGCTCGAGACTTTTGCTCCGCTTGTACCACGCGATCTGCAAGATCAGCGGGCAGCCTGAAGTGAGGCGTGGCTGTAAGCATTACATTTTCAACAGCTCTGTGCAGCGAATGGGGCTGTCAAAAACAGCTCCCACATGATCACATCTAGGAGTTCAACGGATTCTGAGCCCACGGCCGATCCCCACATCATGGCATTGCTTTGGCCTCAGACAGCCTCAGAAGTGAAAGAAACTGCCGAAAGCCCAAAGCACAGCATCAAGAGCTGCTCTTTCTGTCAGATCACTTCTTCTCCAAATCAGCAACCATTGCTTCAAGTTCCTCTGACACAAGTCGTTCGGAGGCTAAGCAAGTGAAGCAAGCGCTGTCCAACCCGCGGTCCTGTTGTCGCTGAGTTCGGGCAGTGTTGCCATTGCCAACCTCAGGGGCTCGGAGAAAAAAGAGAGCGAGTTGGCGAGTTCGCAAACTAAGAGCATCTGTTCTGCTTGGTCGACCGCATCACTGCGGCGGCTCCCGCTCCAGCTCCGGTGAGGCTCCGGTTTCTCAGGTCTCCTGGCTTAAGCGGTGTAACGAAAAGGTTGCAGCCTGTGGTCCTGACCGCAAATCGCATGAGATGGGCTATTTAGCTTAGCATAGGCTTTGGGGCCTACGGAATGCAATAGCGTATACATGCCCTGAACTCCTGGCCGACGATCCGGTCTGCTCAACCTCCTTGCAGCAAGATGCAGTGTACCCGATGCCAGCTTTAAGGTTGAAACCATGGGCCCCTAGTATGGGCCCTTAACCCTGGGATCCTTTTTTACCTGGTACATACCCCATATGTACCCTGAAGGGTCCCTAGAATCCCCCTAAAAGGCCTAAGCGCCTGGTGGCCCATACTTCCAACCTTAGACCACGGTACTTCCAAGCTTTTCTGCATATGTCTTAGCATTTGCGTTCAATACCCGGTGCGGAGTTGATGACATGAAACGGATTGCAAATCTGCCCTTGAAGCAGCAGTATGCCAGCCACTTTTGAGACGCTGCCTGCAGCCGCTGCATCATCAGCGTATGCGCTGCATAGATGCTCAGCAACGGCCCTATGCACTCCATTTTCCTGGAAGGCACGGCAAGGCCACAGACATGAAGCTGCCCTGACCAGTCAGCTCTGCGCAAAGCTGCCGGTGTCCTGACACTCTCTCTGCCTTTGATGGCGCCACGGGAAATGTCCACCTTGGCGCCGGTCCTCTCCTCAATACTCCTCGCAGGTTGCTTGCAGAGCTTAACACTGAAAGCCGCAATGGGATCGTGTCCTGACTGTTTCGCCAGACTTTCCAATCAACGCAGGAACCAGCTGGGCCTTGAATGCAAAGTGCTGCGTGCTTGGATTGCGTGGCATGATGTCACGGCCAGCATGGAAGCGCCTGACCAATCACTATAATCACTTAAGCTCCTCATACCTGACTTCTGGAACAGGCAGACCAGCCTTCCCTTGTCATCCTTTCCCTCCCCTACAGCTTCAGTATAGAAAAGGTGAGGAGAATGGTACCACTACGACTCCTCTTGAGATGAACTTCGGGCTACAAGCTTATGACCAAAATGCACAAATGCCTCTGCATCTTCCAGTTCCCTTTTGTGGAGGGATGCCCTTGGAGACCGGAGGCATGACAATGCCATACTGCAAATGCATGTGAAGCCGTCCACCTTTATGGCGACGACATGTCCTGTTTCAGATGTTGAGAAAAGCGAAGGTGAAGTTGTCTTCTGGTACGCGAATTGGGCTCTATGTCAGCAGCATTGCCCGCCTAATGTGTTGGCAAGCCTCTTGGGAAAATATGGACTTAGAACCCGCGCGCGGTCTAAACTCTCATCAACATTCAGGGGCCTAGCTGCGCGGCAAACTTGACTGTAGAAGAGAGCAATGACAAACATGCGCATGCCCGGCAGGGTCTGCTGATAATATGAATGTGCTGTACACAGCATCTGTGGTGGGCTTTGTTCAGTTTGGAGACTGGATGCTTTGAGTTCATCATGGGTCGGCGCAGATGCCGACAAGTGCAAGGCATGAAGTTATAACCCCGACCATTCCGCTTGGCCCCCCTGCTGGCAAAGCACAGCACACGGAGTAAGACATCCTTGGTCGACGGGGCTTCGCTGGATGTTTCCAAGGCCATCATGTTGAGTGCCAGGCTCCGCAGCACCGCGCGGCAGCATTGCCAGGTCCTCACCACTAACCAAATGCATTGGACCGAAAGCTTACAAGAGCACCCCATGGCCTCTCCCAGCATGTGCAAGCCATCCATGGCCTGCAAGTTTCATTGCAGGCTATCGTCTATGATCTCCTCTTTGGTGCTGTGCGGATGCAAGCATTGCTGGATTTGGAGAAGACGTTTAAGCAGGCTTTTCAGAACCATCCTGAGAGCTTTTGATCGCGGAATTGAGCTTTGTTACACACTTCGGCTTCCTTGAATGGACTATAAAGGACTAAGCTGGCTTTGGTACCAACCTACGATGGGGGAGAAGTAGCAACCCCGCTGAGATCATGAAACTTCATCGTGCGCAGTGTTGCGCCTCATATCAGTGAAACAGATTGCAATGTAGAGCACGAATCTCCCAGGACCCTACCATTGCCGCGGCTCCAGCACTTTGTACGAGGTGTGGCAGGGTGGATCTTGTAGGTGCTCCCCGAACGCACTGTGCATCTTTAGTTGCGTGCTATCCTGCAAAACGCGGCCTCCAAATTATGTCATGGGCACGGATTCTGAATGCTTGCCAACAGCACATTGTATACCACTACCTACCCAGCACCCACAAGAGCTTGGACCTCGGGTACTCAGCTCTAAGAATGCGAAAGGAGTCAAGGAGGCCTTTCCATCCAGCCGGGGCGCAGGAGGTTGCGGCTGCCGGAAGCTGCCTTTGCCTGCTTTGCTATGGTCACAACATTCCCGACTTCATACGAAGCCCAGGACATCACACAGGAATTTTCAGATGCCATGACAATGTCAACAAGGCAGGCGGTTCTTGCTAGCCTTGTCCTTCGTGGCCCCATCCACTGCCACCGCTAGCTCCTGACAAGGCAAGGTGGATTCAGCTTAACTGCCTCTGAAAGCCAAACACCGAATGCAAACTCTACAGGTCACAGCCTTCATGGACTGAGGCATCACTGAAGTTGATGACCCGCATGTACTGCTGGAACTGGATGAGGGCAAGTTGAGCCACCACCGGATTAGCAGCAAAGACGGTTTCGCCTCGTCAGTACTCGACTCGTGTTGAATGTACTCAACGATTCGTCGCCTTAGCGTCCGTTTTCGCAGGCACCCGCAGCCACACTTCTACTCAATTCTTCGGTTCTCAGGTGTGGGCAAAGCCTCCAGAACAGCCTCCGGCATCCCATTGAGGGTTACAAAGCGATGCCTGGCGAGGAAAAGTTCCTTTGCCCGGACTTGCGCGCATGGCCGCCCAACTGTTGACGGGTGTGCCCCGCAATGGTGTCATCACGAATGACAATCTGCCAGTCACAGTTCTGCCACTGCGGCAAGTTTCTAACTCTGAAGGTGCAAAAAACACGCTTTGTTTTCTTGGTTGCAAAGGCAGCGGGACTGTACATGCTTCTACCGCCTTCCTGCACTCAGCAACCTACATGCCGGGCATGTTGTGCCAGACGGTCACGAGACTCCTCCATGTTTGGTCAAGGCTAGGAACAACTGCAGCATCGTGTAGCATCTACAGCTCTTGGAAGGGCTCTGCCCAGGCTCACCTCAGAGCAGATTGCAAAAGCCTTTCTTAGAAACCGCTCCATCTTTTGCATGCTCTACTTGCTCGTCCCTTGCAGCCAGTAGGGCTTGGCTTGCCGCATGCGAAAGTCCCTGCGCGAAATCTGCTGCTTTTTGAAGGGATTGGAGATCATGTCCTTTATGTTGCAGGAGTTCCAGCACCAGCTGGCTGTCATGCAAGCTGGCAGCCCGGGACAGTGCTGTATCCGAAAGGTAGTCTGCAGAAGTCACGGCATTCAGCTCACAGAAGTTCGGATGAGCCAGGATTGCTTGGACGACGTCCATGTTCTTTGCAGAGTGAAGAGCAGACATGCCACAATCATCCAGTGCATTGACGGCTTCAAAGCCAGCTTGGAACAGCAGCTCACAAGCCTCCCCAGAAGTGGCGAAGTGCAGTGCGGACCTGCCTCGCTTGTCAAGGGCGTTGATGTCGAAGCTCACGCCTTCGCTGGCAACGCCGCTGCTGAAACGCAGCAGCACAGCCAAAGCTGCACTGTTCCGAGAGAGTACATGCAACGCAGTTCTGCCCAAGTTGTCTGCCACGCTCAAAGACCCGAGCGCCCCATGTTCTAGCAGTGCTTCGCAAATGCCGGCATTTTTGGCGCAGTGCAAGGCAGTTTGGCCGGACATATCCTGATCATTGATTGCGCTGAAGTCAGGCTGAGCCAAAATGAACCGGCACATCTGCTCGGTTGTCACGTAGTGAAGAACTGTGCAGCCAAAGCGATCCTTGCCATTCAGGACCTCTGGTGTCGAGAGAGCTGGCGACTCTAAAAGAGTGCGAAGAACTTCAATGCTTGCAGCATGGTGGAGTGCAGTTGATTGATTTGCGGGCTTGCGGCGCGCAGCAGCCTGGAAGTGTGGGCTTGCGAGCATGCAGCGACAGTGTTCTTCCAGACCAGCAGAGGCAGCGTTATGTAGCACCACAGCGGCCTCATCCAGCAACCCTGGTACGTGCCCGAAGGCTTCATGCTGCACCAAATTTTCGAAGGCTGTGAGCAAGGGTCGTTGAACAAGACTCTGCAATATGTTTGCACGCTGCCTGTTGTTGGGATGCAGTGGGGGATCGAAGCGACCAAACTTGGGATGACAAATTATTTCCAGGCAAACGTTTGGCTCTTCGCTCCGGCCAGCGTCCACCAGCAGATCGTCAAGGTCTGCGGGGTCATCGATGGTGGTGTAGCCCTTCCGAGCCAAGAACTTCTTCAGGTTCATCCGCGGCTGCCGGAGCACCAGCAGATCTTGTCTCTGCTGCGCCATCTCTGTGAACGGCCTCTCATCATCCTGAAGGATAACCGACCCTTGCAGCAACTGCTGCTCTGCTGCAGGGAATCCGGGCAGGATACGCTCAATGTAGGCTTTGGCATCTCGCACCGCAAGATCTGCCTGCAACTGCAACGTGCGGGATATGCCCGTGATTGTGTTGATGGTCACCTCAACACTCACGTCTTCATCCTCATCTCGCATCTCGTGATTTTACACAGTTGTGCTCTGGTGCGAGTACACTGGCTAATTAGAGCACAGCCCAGCCCTACCCTAGAATGCCAAGCTTGTGCCTCAAGCACATGAATCAAGGTCACAGCAAACTGCCAAAACACGCCATTTCAGTTTGAACCGCAGAAAGGCATTTACACCATGCCTTGGCACCACTCTCCCTTCGTAGCTGCTTGATGTTGGCTCCCTGGTTGCCAATCAGTAGCCCGGTCCTTTTCTGCCGCTTGCATCTTTACAAGCCGCCGCTGCACTACAATATCTACTCAGAGCAGGGCAAATCGCGGGGAAGAACTATTCGGAAGATGTGTTCACCTAGAGACAAGTGTTGGAAGTCGGCATGTGCTGCGCTGATTTGAAAGTCCTGCCTTCTTCCTTCCCCAACATCTCACAGCCAGCAGGGGGAGGTCTAGAGCGCTCATCCTGGCAGGGGAGCAATATTGCTTAGACCAAACGCGGCTTCGGCGTGCTGGGCGCTTCCTCCGCCAGATCCCTCATCCTACCTCAGGCAAGCCAACAATCACAAACACATGGCCGAGAAGGCTTTGCATATTATGGTCAGTGAAACTTGGCATTCCAACCTAGTATTAGCTCCAAGGCCAACATGATGCCATCGGAGGTGTCGCAAAACACCTAAGCAGCCGGGAGATGGCTGATGCTCTCTCTCTCTCTCGCTCTCGCGCAACCTGCCAAAATTCTGCCAAGGGCCCTGCTCCCAGCACCCGTAGCATTGTTTCAGGGAAGAAGTCTCCCTTGTTGCTGAAGACTAGGCGAGCTCCGGACTCCTGGCGGAACATACGCATGAGTCGACAAGCATCTGACCTGACTACACATGTCAAGCCTCAATAAACAATGGCGCAAAGGCAAATCCCTGCTTTGCCTCCTGGAGCTGTTCTTTTGCAAGGCCCCTGTCCCGCAGGAGGAAGCTTACGAAGGCATCGGGCACGAGGGCCTGGAACAGCTTTTGTTGACCGGTCAGCCCTGCCTGGCACTCTTCAGCTCAAACTTGAGAAACCTACATCGTAACCAGACCTGCTGCGCGTCTTCAACAGAGAGCTCATGAGGCTCCTACTACCATAAGTTTTCTGGTGTTTGGGCTGACTTTGCAGATTGAGTTCCATGAGTCCCCAACGAGCGGCGCACCAATGTACGCTCAAGATGCCAAAAACATGCCAAAACACACGTCACGTTGCATCGAAACCAGTCCAGAGGGAGACACGCCCAAACCACACCCGTAAATGGCATCCCAGCCCCAATGGAAAAAAAGAAAATCCGCTTGTGACTGGAAATCGAGCCTTTTGGGTCCAAAGAGCTGTTTGCCAGTCAAATTCCGTTTGACGGGACATCCGGGCCTTTTGGGGGTCCAAGCAAAAGAGCTGTTTTCCAGCCAACTCCTGGAAATCAGGTCGTTTGAGTGATTCAAACGATATGTTCTCCGGTCAAATCTCGTTTCACTGGAAATCGGGCCGTTTGGGGGGGTCCGAGAGCTGTTTACCAGTCAAATCAAAAAGAGCTGTTTTCCAGTCTAATCCCGCTTGATTGGAATCGGGCCTTCGGGGGTCCAAAAAAGGTGCTTTCCAATCAAATCCCGGTTGACTGGAAATCGCGCCTTTTGGGGTTCCAAAAGAGCTGACTTCCAGTCAACTCCCGTTTGACTTGAAATCGAACCATTTTGGGTGTCTAAAGGAATGTTTTCCAGTCAAATCCTGTTTGACTGGCAATCGGGCCTTTGGGGGTCCAAAAGAGCTGTTTTCCAGTCGGATCAGGAGGAGACCATGATGGCTAGGGGTTTTGTTGGGATGGTTCGGTTTCTGGTTGGTCTTCTTCTGGAATTGTTGCTGATCTTCTGTTTCTGCTGTCGCTATGGCCCCAGCCCGTCAAGAGGCCATTAATTCCCTAGAAGGGATCATCTCACTGTTCAGAGGGATGCAGTTTAAGAAATGTTGAATGATGAGCTAAGGCTCTTCCCCTACTCGCACGAACGCCCTTCAATGCAGACTTGCTCATCTGGAGTTCGACTGACAGGTCAACTTATTTCGAGCCTAACTGCTTGATTCATGTATTGATTGATTGATCCATCGCTTAGGGGTGTGTCCTGACCATTGCGTGTTGCAAGGCCGACGCCATGAATTTCACGGCACAAGTATACGCATCCGTTGAGGATCCAACCGCACGAAAGCATCCTGCTCGGATTCTGCCAAACAAATGCTGCTATAAAAATAAGCATGCCGCACGGAACTGATCAGAGCCAAGCCAACCTCACAAATGCCCATACTGATTGAACTGGAGTCGATCATCCAACGTCAGAAGTTGTAGGCAACTTTGCAGGGTGGCACGCCACCGCATCCTGAAATTGCTGCCGAAGTTATGACAAGTCTGTATCGAAGCGCCTTGTGTGGAAGCATTGCGGATGCCAGAGTCCGGCAAGCCCTATGACGCTTGCAAATTAGGAAGAGCCTCCTTCAATGGGCTTCAGCTGCAATTGCCTGTTTGGCCCTCCCAAGGCTTTTATCATACGTGGAGTTTCTCAGACGAAGGCATGAGCTCTGCCGAGAGGATTAAGCAGGAAACTGTTAACCCTGTCTTATCAAGCTGCAGGGCCTTGAGGCCGAGCTTCCCTCTTGGAAGACTTGCATCACCCGTGCGCCTCCTGGGGCCTGCCCACACACATGCTGAACTCAAAGCCATGTCTTGCTCCAACTGGCGTGCCCTGCTCTGCGCTGCCTGGGAAAGCACCATCCTCATAACTGCGCTTCATAGCACGGAAGGAGCTTTCCTTCGTGGCTTTCTTGCGCTTGCTTGAGTCGTGCTTGCATGTATGCCACAACAAGGCAACAACGGCTTGATGCTCGCAAAGACATTTTGCTGTGGCCCCCGATTTGTTGGCATGCATGCTGCCCTTGAGTCACATCTGCAAAAGAGCGCAGGCATCAGCACAAACTCTTCCTGCCGTTCGACGCGCTGGCTGCATGATTTCCTCTGCCATTTCATAATTCACACAGGCATCTAAAACCAAGCAGGTACGCGGAGGTTTGCTTTTGAACAGTATCAGTGATGTGCAAGTCAGCTGGCCCTTGAATTCCAAGTCATAGGGACCTCCATGAACAGGTGAGCATGACACTTCTCTTACACCAGGGTTTAGGGTCGCTCTCCGAGGGCAACGCGCAGTGAGGTTCACGGGTCCCCTTGGCCAGTTGCATTGGGTGAGCCTGCGCCTGCGGCAACCACCACAAGAACAGGAAGAAGAACAGCAGCAGCAGAGCAGCAGGAGGCAGCACACCGAATCCGACCAGGGTTGCGAGGCGTGTGCTAAGCTAAGGTGCCTTCGGCTTTGGCAAGATGTTCGGCTGGTCAGGCACCTCGTAGCACCTTCAACTGAAGGGCTTGTCACCAGCGGATGAACACGTCTGCTTCTGTGCCTTACAATAAGAAGGCCAAGTCGTTAATCTTGGAGGCGTAGCCGAAGTAGACGCTCCCAAACCTCTGCGGCTCCATTTAAGTGACTGGGCAACCGGAACCCTTGCGATTTTACTGCACTGAGCAGCGTGCTTGCCAGTGCCAGGCACGTGAAACGCTGAATACCCAGGCCACATCCTCAAACTTTGTACCATTTCATAGTACTCTTCCAGTGCGCACTGCAACCTGTGAAGGATTGTAAAACAGTCAAGGCAAGTGCAGTGAGCGCAAGGTGACCAAAGCGCTCTTCTCTGGCTCCTGGCGAGAGGACATCAATCAAATCAACATCACGATCAAGGCTTCGATTCAACCTTCTCGCGGAAATCTCATGCTTCAGTCTTGCTTGAGTCTTTCACGTGCTAGCGGTTTCCACATACATCTTTCCTTTGACAGCTTCAGTCCTGCCGCACAGCCCAACAGCCTTTAGGCAAGTCATCGGAGAGCGAATCCAGGAAGTTGGACTGGAAGTCTAACTGGGCGTAGGCAAAAACAAGGAGCATTGGAAGGTGAAGAAAATGGGGCGCCCAGCATCGTTGGCAGCCTGTGCCTTCAGGCTCACCACCTCGGCGACGGGCCAACGTTATTCCCCCAAAAAACCTCACAGCAACCCCTCAAAACTTCCTGAAGTCTCTGAAGAGTCGGCACTTGCTGGAGGTCTGAAGTGCACGTAGTTCTGCAGCAGCGTTGCCTCAAAACAGGCAGGAGCTCAAGTCGTTGTGACCAATCTCGAAAAATGCAATCTGGACCTTCGCAGATTCAAGACCTCGGAAAGCACTGTTGGGAACCACCACCTGCAACATCGTGTGGCAAGATCATACTTCGGACTGCCTGTGAATTGAAGGGTGGCGCCTGCGCTTCATTCAGCGAGTAGGCACCTGTCCAATCTTTGAGCTAGCCCCTATCACTGTTCCACTATGCTATCGCTCTGCGTCATGGCCGCAACTCTACACACTGAAAGACTGCGGTAGGCTACGCAGGCACAACAAATTGCCTTTGGGCACTGCCGCTGTGTCAAAGTCGATCTCCTACAAACATCGCACGACATCATGCCGTAGCAGTGCGCCAGCAGCAGCAACAGTAGCAGCATTACGCTGCTTTTCAAGTCCTGGACCAAGAGCGAGAGCCTATGCAGCTCCGTCAGCGTAGGCCCAGCCTGCTCCCAGTGTCTGGAGGACATCAAATCTCCGTGCAAGCGTGCTTAAAATGATTATGAGAATTCAAGCTCATCAAAACTTGTCAAGACCATTTCATGCGGGTTATCGCCGGTGCGTCTAGCCGCAGCTGCAGCAAGTCCATGGTCTGGCCTTGGGCTCTGCACCTGTTGGCGTCGACAGCTGCAAAAGCTAAGAGGACAACATGAAGGACCAACTGGCCTGCTATAGACTCCAGCGGTGCGCCGGGGTTGCCGCTCAGCGGTGTGGTCTCAAAGCACAGGCAAATCAGCCATGAGCTACGCTACAAACAGGCTGGCGAACCCGCACGGTTCGTCTACATGCATGCGTGCCAAGCAATCACTAGGTTACGTAAGCACTGCACCAGCTGCAGCATGGAGACTGCTTCACCAACCTGCATGGAAGGTTGCGAGGCTCACTGTTGAGTTTTTCATGTCAGTGACATGTCGCAAGCGTATGTGCAGACGTGTCGTCAGCCTCCTCCGTCAAGTCTGGAAGTGGCTTGAACTCGAAGTCCTGCTCAGCAATCGAACCCGCCATGCCTTTTCCCGCTGAGGCCTCAAGCTTGTGTCCTCGCCGGCATAAAAGAAACTCTTGTTTGGGTATGCAGGCTTGATATCGCGAATTGCGCATCTGGCATGCTGTGGCCATCTTGTGTTGCCGACTGCCAGAAAGGCGCAAACTGCCAACACAAAGCCAGCACCACGCGATGTAGTAGTCCCGCTCCTATAGCCCCATCATTTCTGGTTGCTCTCACAGGCAGAGGCTGGCAGCTCTCCTTCCCAAGGATCTTGCCCCAGAACTTAATCACCTTGCGGTCAAAATCTAAAGCATCTGCACTTGAACTGTGCTAAATCCTGGCGACATGGGTAGGTGAGACCGGCACAGGATTCTTCTCAGTGGCCTTCAGCAAGGTGAGACCTGCCTGGAGGAGGACTTGCTCGTGGCTGCACTGCATACTCAGGAACCCACACCCAAACGACACTTGCCAAGAAAGCACCGGCTCAGGTGTTCTGAGTGTTTTAGCTAGGGTTCTCAAAGAAGAGGAAGGAAAACCAGGTGATTCTCAGGTTTTCACCCCACAGCGCCTGTAGGCAGGTTATCTCCTCGCAGCTGAGAACATGCCCCCCTGAGCTTAGGGGGAGCCCCTCCAAATCCTGCGGCACAGGGAGCATCAGAAACAAGTACACATCAAGAACATTGTGGTAGTTTAAGCTGTGTCTCAACGGCCCGTTGCTCAACGGCCTCCGCATCCATCGCGGCAGAAGCAGCCAGATCTCACTGTGAGGCTACGCTTGGGCCGAAAGCAAGGTATGGCACATGCAACATTGGCATGAACTTATTATTGACCTCTGCAGAAGCCTACTGCACCCCAGAACCACTGGAGCTTTGCCAAAGGTCAGCTGAATGGATCCGAGTCCGCACACCGCACCGTCCGCAAACCAAAAAACTGGGAAAGATGCACATCTTCACCGTGTGAAACAACCTTTGATCTACGAGAGTCTGCACCCTGGACCTTGCCAGTGAAACCAGCTGCCCTGAGTTGCCTCACATGAAGAGCCTTCATCAACGATTCCAAGATGCTGTTACACATGCTTGGGTATAGGAGATAAGCTGTTGCCTGAAGAGCTTCGTTCAGTCTGCTTTTTGTGTCAACCATCCCCGGGCCACGAGGCCACAAAGATGGGCTCAGCTAGCACTCAGCTCGATCGCGATCGTTGGCTGGAGCTTGATTACTGGCAGAGGAGGAGCCCATGATCCCTTCTGCTCACACAGGAACCACTGGCATGCGTCTGTAATGTAAAAATATCTCCCTTAGCACAGGCCGGGCTGACGCGGTGGGTGGGGCTTGTTGTTGTAGACGTCAATCACCTTGCCGTCGTTGTGAATGCCTAGGGCGACCTGCTTGCGCAGCGTCAGCAGCATGAAGCTCAAGCGCGGACTGTTTCGTGTTCAAGCGCATTCGGCCTCATTGGGGTTCTGGTTTGGTCCAACCTGCTCAGGCATGCTCAGGCAATCGGCCCCGCTCACTTGCAACGCCTCTGTCCTGGCCTTGCGGCGCGAGAAGAGCTGAAAGTTCCCAAGCCCGGATGGCCGCAACCTTCGACCAACGTCTCCCGCATCTCTCACAGATGACTGGAAAGGCACTGTGCCATGAGCCAGGCTCCCGGCATGAGTCGCATGCCTGGGGACAGCGAGATGGAGATGTCCTCCAGTCACTCCAGTCCAAAACTAAAACAGCAAGCGTCTGCAAGCACGAGCGGGGCGAAGGGCACGGGCTAAGGCTAATGGATCTGAGTTGATTCCAGTTTCAGTCCAACTTTAACCTGGAGGCGTCACCAGCCTCAGCTGAAATCGAGGTCAAGATCTTCGATTTTCATAAGGTCGGCCGTTTTAAGGTGATTTCCCTTGCTGCCAAAGGCCTTTCAAATCCTAGCCCCGATCGTACAGGCATGACCTGATGGACTGGCACCGTACGATACAGCAAAGGCTATTGAAAGTGCAGCTCACGAACCACCCCGTGATGTTGATAGGCATGGCGGCGATGAGCAGAACAAGCGCCCGTGGCCATGTCTCCCAAATGCAAAAAATGTGGTGTCAGCATCATCGTCGCCTTGGACTGGCGCGTAGGCGCTCTTCGCAACCTTTCCTGTGGCTGTGCAGGGCGAGTGGGGGTCCCAAACCTGCCATTCAATGCAGTCTGGTTACCATCTTCCATCTCTGCTTCATTTCTTTCCCCTGACAACAGTGCTTGCATCAAGCCTGCTACGGACCCACAGGCGATGAAGGCATCTTGTCTTCCTGCCTCGGCCGTGTCTTGAATGCCCCACTGAAGCTCTGAAAGCCTCAGTTGAAAGCGCAGCCTTTGACGCCTTCAGAACAGCATCTTCAAGTGTCCCCACCTCTTCTCTGCCCGGTCTCTCTCCGTGTTGCTGACGAAAAAGGGCAACAGTTCCTCTACCTCAGAAGACAAGTGTTCAATTTAAAAGAACAATCCGCTCAGCTGTTTCTGCCTGGGAGTCATAGTCGGCCATCGCAGCATGCAGAAGGCGCAGCTTCTCCTTGACGTTCAGCTCACCTGCTTGTTCCTCCCTCCCCTGTGATTAAACCACAGCAGCTTCACGAGAATCACAGGTGTGGCGCACGCTTCTTGCGGCGCATCTTCCGTAGCAGGTCCTTCTTCAAACGTTGATACAGCACCTCAACAGCTCGAAGTGCGCTTGTGGTCTTTTGCTGCACGGCGGGTAATGCAGAGAGCCTGCTCCACGATGGAGCGCTGCACCAAGAAGATCGAGTGCAGCCTCACGCCATGCGAACACAAAGACACATAAAGACAGTATCCAACATATGTACAAAAGGCCCCGACTGCTTCTGAAGTTCTTGCCTCAGACCCTGCAAGAAGATTGCAGATCTGACGCAATTAAATACCGAGCCAACGCCCATGCAGCTATCGTGTAGCAAGCTTCAAGCCTACTTCCTGCGTTTGTGCCAAGCATTGGTCAGTCTCATGTTGTGTCCCAATCGTTGCTCTGGTCAACGCTGTCACTGTCTGAAAACACCCGCATACGCTCTGAACGGCTGACAGTGCCCGAGGCCTCTCTCTCCTCGGCACAAGCTTCGCTGCCCATTTTTTCCCTGCAGCACGAGGACTCTTACGCTTTTGGACCCTGCGCGGGTGGGTCCGAGTGTCGAGGCTTGTGCATGAGCGCTGCGACAAAATCTGTTGCTCTCAGCTGTTTTCAGACGGCTCCAGCGCAAAGGTGCGATCGCCCGCATTTGCGGGCTCTTCCCAAGCGCAGACTGTGAAACCATGTTGGGATGCAAACACTATAGAGACACACAGACACACTGCACATTGCGAAGTGAGCTGCACGGCATAGCTTCTGGACTGCCAAGCATCCCGCAGAAATGCTCCGGAATAAAAGACTGAAAGTCCGAGATCCTGGTCTTGCCCTTGGCTATAGATCCAGGATCCAAGAATCAAAAATCTACCTCCCAAATGCAGCTGCATTCTGCATACTGGCTTGAATCAGAAGGTAGCCCGGTAGCCCACACATTGGCCTGCGATACTCGTCCCTGCGGGTTCACAAGTAACACTCTTCTGGCCTTTCTGAAAATTCGCACCTCCGTGTCAGAGGTTCTGTCGTTCGGGTTGCACTGCGGGCCTGCCAATACCGACAGGACATGACAACATTGTCGAGACTCAAGTCTCAAAATGTCATCCTCAAAACTTGAGGGTAGTGGGGCTTGCATGGCCTTCCGGGATACGGAGTGCAACAGAATGCTTGCATCGGACATGTCTTACCACATGTCCAGCAGAAAAACATTGAAGGGTTGAGAGGATATCTCAGGCAGTTAAGGTGGGAAGCCTCTCCCTGCAGCAGTCTTTAATTCTCTGCAAGCTCCAACCTGAAAATCCTTACTTTGCGCCTAAACTTGGCAATCGATGACCGTTAAACTGTTAAACGGAAACTCCCGCAAGCTCCAAGAAGCTTTCGTGGCATGAGCCTGGAGGAGCGACACCGCGGAGTCAGCAGCATGGCCGCCAAGGCAATCGCCTGGCAACGCAATGAATTGCCCGAACCATGACTTTGCAGCAGCTACAAAAAATTTGCGCCTCTAGCCCGGCCAGCATGAGACATAGGCCTGGAGCAGGCAAGTTGCAGCCCAACTGTGCTTCGCCTCCTGACATCTCCTGACTCCTGCATGAAAACTCTGCTTTGTTTGGGTTCATGCCTCCCACGAGCCCCAGGGCCCCTCGGTTGCCGAGACTGTGCCTCCTTGGTGGGCCGCGCGGGTCGCGTATCAAGACGCATCGCAAAAGCAGTAACCAAAGTCGAAACATTTCTTGGCGTCGCTACCCTTTATAGCTGGGGGGGCAGCTGGGCAAAAATTAGCCGCTTTTCGGCCACTCCCCAGTCATGCCAGACCGGACCTTGGAAGCCAGTGTACTGGCGCTTCCACACAAGAGCAGGCAAGTCACTGTGATCTCAAACTTTTGGGGTGGCGACTGTTCTCGACGAACTGCACCTTGTAGCTGCCTTGAGGCAGCCCTCCTTTGATCACTGCCTTGGCGCAACAGCGGCAACGTAATGACTGCAAAGTTCACTTCTCTCAATGGAAATGTTTCTCGAGTACCGCACCCACAGATTGCGAACATGTGGGGCAACTGGAGTTCTGTACCAGACCTTCCATGAGAAGGATCGAAATCAAGCTCGGCCAACACCCCATCAGCAAGAATCTATTCAGCTTTGACTCATGTAAAAAAAGTTCTCTGCATGTAGACCCACAAAACCTAGTCAACGAGACGCGGTGCCCGTTGCTGCTCCATGCTGTCCTTGTCAAACAAACCGTGAAGAGCATAACGGCAACCGCGACTAGGGGGGGGCTATACAGCTTGTGGGCTAGCTTCACAGGCAGCACAAACGTCTCGGATGAAGGGTGCGTAGTCAGCTAGATCCGAGCTGCTCGTCTTGCTCAGGAGCTCAGAGACTTTAGAAGAGAGCCCGTGTTGTGTCTTGCCGATCGATCTGATCCCGTACAAGAGCATGTACACGGCAGCATCTGTGCAATCCACAGGTAACTTCACGTCTTGCTGAGACCCACACAGATTGCTTTTCAGCTGCAATCAAATTTTGAAATGCATGCGACCGTTGTCACAGCCGCCTTCTACAACTTATGCTCGTTCGTACCCTTACAACGTATGACCCAACCGAAGCAGCCGCTGTGATACTCGTGCTTTGCTTTCCTACATCCAGCCCGTCAGCATGCACGGCACAAGCCAAGCAATGACTCGAGGTGCTGCCTTCCAGTGCTCAAAGAAGCCTGGTGTCAGCCAGGTCTCTCTCCTGCGAGGTTCACCCTAAGACTTGCTTCATCTCCAAGGCCGCACTTGGGTACAGCTCTGTCTACAACCCCAGGAAAGCAAGTCTGTACAGGTCCTCTGATCGGACCTCAGTTGCCCGCTCAACGTGTCGCTGTGCACTCTCTGGACTCACCGTGCATTTCAGCTAAGCTTGAAACTCCAGTATGTAAAACCGCTCCTCGCCTCGAAAACCAGGCAGGAGCCAAGGCTCAAAGTCATGACAAAGAGGCCTTCAAGCGGAGGATGGAGCTTTCCATACCTGCCACAGATGCAGAAACTACTATACGCTACTAAGTACTGAGGGCTGTGCTTTTTTGAGCTGAGGCCAGCACGCATCGGCATCTGATTCGAGGGCTATGTCAGACTCATTTGCTTCAAGCCTGCAAGCAAGTGAGCACAAAACCTGTGCTCGCACGTCTTGCCCACAGCTCAAGCCCAAGCCTCTCCCATCCGTTGTCTGTGGCTTGGTGGAAAGTGAAATTGTCTGTGAACCTGGGCTTAGCTTGATCGCCTTTGCTTGCAGACTGCAATTGCTGAGAGCCAAGCGTGGAAAGCGATACTAGACCGCAGGGGGCAAGATCATCGCCAGCAGCAGCTGCAGGGTCATGCAATGGAATCGCTAAGCATCAGCCGATCGTTAATGTTGGTGGAATACAGCTCTGAAGCACAGCGACTTCTGTGGAAAACATGCGCTTCGGCACCTTCTACCCTGGCCACAAATGTGGTGTCGCTGCCCCGCCGCATCCTGCACAGCTGCTGGGTTGCTGTGTCAACTATCCTTTCTTTTGGGGCAGTCTTGCAAGGCAAGCATCGCCTGACCCAAGCGCGGCTGTCGGCAGCTGTGCAGGTCGCCACCGATAGAAATGTATAAACCTCAGAGTTGGGTAAAGGTTGTTGGAACTTCACAAGCACCATTACAGTTTCGCTGAGCGCCTAACAACCCTCCTGTCTTTGTTCTCCACGAAACTGTCAGGTAAGCAGGTGCGTAGTTCCAAGCGATCGCCAGGTTGGACGAGACTTGTGTCATCTAGCAATTCTAGCAATTGGGTCTTGTACTCGATTGCTTTGCAGACTTTCATGTCCAAGTTTCTTGCCCTTGCCTTCAGGTTCTCCCATCTTTGCACAAGGTTCTTTTGCTAGATTGCCCAACCCAAATTTGCTTCAGCAACGTATGGTCCTTATTGCCCGCAGCCGCAATAGATCTGAATCAAGTTCTGCCAGGTGGAACATTCCATGTGTGCGTTTCAATGCTGTGCTAAGGGTATGCGCTGGCCCGCGACAGTGAGACCAGTGAACCCCACAACGTACGAGGTGGTCTTGAGAGGAGCAGGTGGAGTTTGCCGCTCACATCTGCAATCAAATTTGAAAAGCGTTGGAAGGGAAAACTGTTGAAAGAGACTTGAAAGCACATTCCAGAGTTGTGGAATGAACAAATACCTGCTCTCAAGCCGCGACAATGCCTACTTTCATCAGCAGCCATCCATCCAGTGCATGAATCCCTGTGTGGGTGTATGGATACGCTAGGCATAGCGTTTTTTGGCTGTTTGTTTGCGGGAGTACTTGCGGAGCAGAAAGCAGAGCTTACTACGAACTGCTAAGCTTGCCAGGTCATGGCTCTGCCGTGGCATGAGATGGAGCTGACTCAAGTCTGGCAGGCCTTTTGTGGTTTGCCACGATATTAATGTCATAGTACACGAGCACCTAAGACATGGCAAGGCTTCTGCCAGGGGAAACCGGAAACCCTCTGGCACACTGGAAGCTCTGGCGTGTTCCCATGATTAAGCCTGCGACGTCATCCTGAAACGCTTGGTCTATTGTGAATTCCTCCAGCTTTGGACAGAAGTCTTTGGTGGTCAATTCCCCAAGCTTCTGTGAAAGACTCCTTCTTGTCAAGATCTTTAACTATCGCCAGAACTTGATTAGAGTACCAGCCTGCTCTGTCATGTTTGCAGTGTAGGGAACACTCACCTCAAAGGAAGGCAGCTGCATGCACTCATTGGATGACAGCAACGCCTGCCTCGTGGAGAGACCCGCTCTGCGACATCAGCACCACACCCAGAACCAGGAATGCCAAGAGGATGCTTGTAGTAAGCACCTCTTATCGATTCTGAGCCAGCTTGATCCAAGAGCCGACAATTTCTGTTCTCCTGACTGACTAACTCTCTGAGGCCAGAGCCATCTGGCAGCAATAGGCATAGGCCCAGTACCTAGGTGAGCAAGGACTGTAGTAATTGGATGCCAAGAGATGTGCAAACTTGATCTCTCAAAACGAAGACATGTCTTAGGTTCCCGATGCCTCAGGGCCCAATTCGGATGCCACAGACCGTCTCTGCGCTACCCGCTCTTTGGTGAGTACAGAACTGAGTCTCCAACGGCAGCGTAATCGCTGACTCGGGCTGCTGCGCGTGGTGCCAAATGCAACGCCGTATGCCTGGACAATGCCGGGTTCAAAGGCCTGTGCCTGGGAGTATGCATGCATAGGTCTCGTGTGTGATGATTGTCTAGTGTGGACTCTGACTCCGGCGACTCCGCCGTCGCAGCTCTGCCGAGTTTGTTCTAAGCCTCCGGTGAGAAGCTAGAATGTCTCTGACAAGTTTTGAAAATCGCTGCGGTAAGAAGTCGCACCTGGATTGCTTGGACTGCTGTGAGAACGCCACGGACGGAGGTCCTGGCGGCAGCGGCTGGCTGGAGCACCTACGCCGCTCCAATGGTAAGATCTCAGCTTCGTGCCTGTTGATTTTGACACAGTGCCCACGCAATCCTGGCCCGCGGCCTGGCTACTTGGAGGGAGTTCAGAGAAAGTTGCATTTTTGTTGTCTGGAATGGGAGACTGCTTGGCAACTGGACGCGGTCCAGCAAGATGCAGTACTTTGATGTACTTTGACAACAGATTGTTGACAAGCTCCAGCAACCCGTTTAGACCGAAAAGAGCAGAATCCAAAAGATCAAAGCCATGCATTGGTACTGAGCCCTTGCGGACCTCTGGTGAGGCATTGCGGTCCTTTGTTGCTCAGCGTTATGCTGGTTTTCCTTCAGTGCTGCTATTCTGGGATGCTTGCCGGCTCGTCTCTGGGCTGCTCCTGGGCTGTGCATCAACGAACTTCCGAAGACAGCCCACCCAAGAGCGAAGCGCCAATCCCGCGCTGTTTGAGCTAAGGCTTGCTCGAGCTGCTGAAAGATGTTGTCGTCCGTCTCTTTGCCGATTTTATGGGTTGAGATGGGCTCCTCCTGGTTGCAAAGAAAGCGCACTGCTAATCCCCAAGCCACCCTGCACCAAACTTGGGTGTGGTATGCAGCAGATGCATGCAATTGCCCACTGCCTTGTCTGCTCCGTCACCTGGGGACTTGGAGATGCGAGGTCAGCTCTACATAACTTGAAGATTTTGCTGAGACCACCTTGCGAAAGGAGCAGCAGCGGGATATGTATTCATTCTGGGCAAATCATCAATTGAGCATCTACCCAGATGCTCGCTTGATTGAATACTACTGCTGTCTGATGACAGACTGAGTCCTGCCATCTGGCCATGCTCCGGCTTACTGCTGAGCCAGGCGCTGTCAGGGTATGAACCCGGCAGCATGTTGCCACTAGTGGGTAAAGCCTCAGTTCTGCTGCTTGATCATCCCAGGCCTCTTCTGAGTCAATCCAGTCTTTGCACCAGTAACTCAGTAGGGCTTTGGCCAGGACACCACAATAACACGGTTCGCAGGCAAGTGTGAAGCCCTCCACTGCGCTCACGGCTTATAGCAACTGGCAAGCAGTCCAAACGAATCTTCACGTGCCTGGCCCATGCCAAACGTCAGCCACCACCGCCTGTTGAAAAGCTTCAGTAACAAGAAAAGACACCTCACTGGATAACAGATGTTTGGGGCCCTGGCGCCCCTGTCTATACAGCCGCAGCCATGAGGCTACAGCACCCGGGCACCAGCTGCATTGCAAGTAAGACCCAAACGAAAAATGTCAAGCTGAGGTGAGGCAATCTAGAGTACCATGCACCGGCCTACGGCCTAATCACCTATGTGTGGCGCATGCGACCAACTGGGACCAGAATGCTGTAAGCACTCTGCGCATGGTTGGCTCAGTTGACAGTGGAGGGCTGATGCAATGGCTCTATGGTAGCTGCTGCGCGCGTTCGTGGACTACCCCCTTGGTGATATTCCGGCGCACTGCCGAACCACCCCCGACTTGAGCAAACCTTTCTGCGTTTCCACGACATTTCCAGCGCCACCCTCAACACATATGGCACAGCCGCTGGGCATGCATACAGCACATGATGCCATGCAAATGCGTTGCAACCCTCAACTTGCACCTCACGGCCGCATCAAAGCCTACTCAGAAGTGGAGCTGAGAAGTTCACTGAGCGCAGCTGCAACAAGGTGAGTGCAGGTGGGCGGCTGCTGATGGTCCGATTCAGAAGCGTTGAGGCCTGGCCAGGAAGAGCATACACACCAGATTCTGTCACTCTGCCTGCTTGCTTGATTGTTACAAGGGCCCCGCCGTATCTCACGTTCTAGGCCCTCCGAAGCACCACTCCCATGTTACTTAGTCTGATCCACCCTGATGCTGGTGCATTTCAATGATACAACCATGGGTGACTGAGCGGTGAGTGCTTGGCTCAAAACTGCAACTCGCCTGTCTGCCATACCGTAGCACAGAGCGACCTTCCGCAGAAGCCTGCGAAGGCAAAATGTCTCCAGAGCCTCTCACAGCCGGCAGCTACTGACGTGCCTTCTCCCAGCCGGAGATACGTGACCTGGTAAAGAAACCACATGAACTGAAGTCATTTCCTGTTTCTGGGTCCCGGTCTGCACAGCTTCCAATTGCTCTTTTTGAAGTTGCTGGCAGCTAGCTTCGCTGGCCTGGCACTTCTCATCTTCAGCAGCGACAGCATGGTGGGGGTACGTATAATATTGGTGCAAGTGACAAGGAGCAAAGGTGTTATAAAGCCTGTGCAGCCGGGGCAGCCGGGGCAGCCGCTGCTGTGGCAAGGGCTCTAGATGTTTCCCAGGTCCTGTGCTAGCATGTTCCGTCAAGAACTTGAAGCTGGCTTCAGTTGCTCCTCGGGGACCCTCTGGCCGCCAGGCTGCAAACAGCCACACCCATGAGGCCACACAACCATCGTGTTCCTGGGTCCCAAGGCGATATCAACTGTTTAGCATCTCGATGCTTCACTTCATCCATTTGTCCAAGGTGCTGTTGGTGCTTCGGCGCTGGGACGCCATCCAAAACTACCGCTGCCCTCTAAGGGACGCTTGGTAAGCACACCATAAGCAAACGCTGCAGGCAAAGGGCATAAAGATTTGTGGACATGAGAACAACTCAACAGTTCTGGAATGTTAAAGCAACCTAATCATTCGAGTGCCGCTTGCACTTTCTCTCCGGAACACGGCTGAGAAGCTCACAGCTTTGCCCGAGGAGCTCGCGGCTTCGCCTCTGTCAGGTGCTGAGAAATCTTGCAGGCCAAAAACTGACACTTATATTCTGATGATGCCCACACACAACAAGTATACAGTACTTGCCACGACGTGCCACGTACAGCCTTGCAGACTGGACTCTGCGGTTGGACCTAGACTGCCATCCGCCCGCCTGCGCAGGAACTGCGCAATGGCACTGGCTTTGCTGGCCACCACGTCCTTGAGCAAGGATTTGAGCTGCCGCCGCATCTGGGAAGAGTCGGAGATCGGGACACATTCCAGCAGCGCCACGGCCAATGGCACTACCAACGGGAGCCCGCTGCAGCAGATTATTTCATCCCAAATCTCCACAACGGCTGCCTTTGGCAAGCACGTCACAAAGAGTGTCAAGTACCAAGACTGGAGGAACTCTTCAAATTGAATGCCCTCAGCTTGCAAACGCGAGCAAAGACGCGGAAGGACCGTCGCAACAAGTTGGCCGAACCCGTCCATGTATTGCTTCAACAGTGGAAAACCTCCTGCATAAAATCCAGACAGATGCATATTGCGCATTAGAGCTACAAAAACCCAAAAGGTCTCCTCCTCATGGCCACCTGAAACAAAAAGCAAGAGGCCAACAACAAAGTTCATGCCCTGACAGTAGCCAACTTCTGGGCTCAAGTTTGCATAAGCAGAAAGGATCTTCTGCAGCGTTTCAACCTTGTCCAAGGGCACAAAGGTCCTCTTGGAATCCTGCTCAATGAGCGTCTTCCAGGTGCTGTTTTCCATGCTTATCAGTTTCTGATACTGCCCAGTTTGACCGCCAATGGAGTGCAGACCTCCTAAAGCCGCCTTCCAAATCTCCCACCGCAGGTCTGACGGAACTCCCGTCACTGCAAGTTCCTTGAATAGAATTGGCTGATCCTTGCGCAGGGTCGCCAGGTTTGTCGGGCCTCCTTCCAGCACAGAGCTCCAGTTGAACGATCGTCCGGCTTCATCCAGGACATCCTCATCGAAGTCACGCTCCGCAACCGTGGCTGCAGGCAGCGCCGCATGACGCAGAGTCGGCCGAAGGGTCTGCAGAGCTGCGCAGACGTTGGTACAGCACCAGTGGGACATCCAAGCTGGAGCCAGGAAGGTTTTTGCTAGGCTTGCAGATGTCTGCCTGGTGTACCTTTGTCAGCATCGATTGTGACAACTGTGAAGCTCATTTCAGGAGGACAAGATTGACGAGATGCTTGCTTGAGCTGAAGTTGGGCCTAGTACAAAACGTGCTTCATACTCCAGACCAGAGAGAATGCAACATGAGCCGAAATCTGCGTCACATCCTGGGAGGATGCTCAGCCCGACCACCAACGGAAGAAGAGAGACTGGCATCTAAGAGAAACTCGTTCTATCATCAAACACTCTTCAGAAAAACCGCCAACCGATGCATCAGACCGATCCATCTGCCCGTGGCAATACGTGAGATCCCACATGATTCGACGAAGTCTGCATAACACCTCATGACGCACACTCTCTTGCGTGTAGCATGCCCCTCTGAGGTCAGTAAGTTCCTTCAATGAGTCTGAAAATGACGCTACCACTTTGTCTCTGAACAGATGCTCATAGGAATGCCTTCGCACCACAGAAGTGCCAGCAACTCGTAACACGTCATATGGGCAGCTGGAGCCGGGTTCATGGAGGGAAGGTTTCTGCTTGTCTGTCGCTTTGTTTGGTAACCGGATACTTGGTACCAGGCACCATGCACACAAATCCTGCCAAGGTGAAATACCGCACTCCATGTGATGCTAATTTTTTGGCTGCTCACACACTGGACACTTCGAACCGCCTCTGACCCTTCAGGCTGCCAAAGCTATTCGCCAGCAGCCGGAAGGGATAATTACCGTCTGAGAGTCTGGGCCAAGCTTGCTTGAGCATCTTGCAGTTTCAATCACCAAGAAAACAAAGGGTCTTTGACAGAGTCTTTGATGCCTTTGGTTGTAACGGAGCAGGTTCTTCATGGTGCTGTCTGTTCGACTTCTGACTTTGGCGCAGCAGGCGGATTGCTTGGCAATCCACCCGCGCAGCTGTACCGTCTGTACCATGTTAGCACAGCGGCGCTTCTGAGAAGCGATCTTCTTTCGCACTATGTACAAAAAGCAAGCACCTCACGCCCCTCACGGACCTCTATGTACCGTACACTGCGCGGTTGCAACTGTACCTTGCACAGTGTTCCGCCACATCCGGCAAGCTCTGCACAAATTGATTGGGATTTCGCGGGGCAAACACGGCAAACTCTGGATTGACAGCGACCGCTGCTAAAAAAAACTCAGCCGGCACGCTCAAGAAGCATCTAGCGACATCAAAGGTTGACAGACTTTTGACTGCAGTTCCTGCTAGCTCCCTAACTCATACCCGTAAAGTCCGTAAAGGTCCCACGGCCCCCGTAAGCGGTAGTGTTGCCTTCACACAGGCAACACAGTAATGAAAGCCAAGGTGAGAACAAGCTCTGAGGTCGAGAGGCCAGTAGGGAGGAGAAGCGTGGCGCTCTGCGATGGTCGGCCCTTGCTCCCTGGCCTCAGAGCCGCGAGGTTCCGACCTTCGACCTTCTACGTGAAGATGCTGACAGCAAAGGCACACTTCGACTGCCCCGACTGCCCCGGCTCCCCTTGCCACGACCTCAGCCGAGACAGAGGCCGACCGATACCCTATTGCACATTCCGGGCGCAAGCAGCACTGCATCAATCAAGCACGATTGAGCGAGCCGCCTATGCTTTCAGAGGTGCTGGTGTTGGACTTGCGTTTTTCGCATGACCTGCACTGAAAAGGCTTTCCCTTGTCGAGATTCATTGGGTCTGCCACAAGAGCAATTGAGTTTGGGACCTGAATTGCCCGTTTTCTCTGGCGGTGTTGGGAGGAGACAGTGTCTTGCGCAAACTTGGCATGCGAGTGTCATGCACTTCATTTCTGCCGGTGGTGGTCAGGATATTCCACCCAAGTCCCTTTGAGGACTTGAGCCGCTGACGCCTTCGAGTTGCAGTAGGCAGCAGCGAGGCCTGAAACACAGTATTGAATGCAGGCAACCTTACATGCCCACAGCATTGAACAAACTTTTCGGGCCAGCGCCTTCCGTTGAGCACTGCGATGGCTCCGAGAAGGAAACCTGACAATGCTCACATCTTGCCAGTTTAGGCACCGCATTCAATGTGGAATGCCGGCTTCTTTTGCAGCATGAACCTCCCTGGGCGCCCAACAAGCGACCCGAGAAATTGAGGAACTTGTGGCCACTGCAGCTGTTTTTAGCTGGCTAAATGGATCTAAGCCTCACCACCGCCTTACCCACGTGACTTTATATCACCTGTGGGGCAGCTTCAAACGAAGTCTTGGGCCTTGGAGGAGCCACCCGATAGAAATTGCGAGAGCGACACGCCTCGCATGACGCAATCACACCATCACAGCTGGCAGATAGGTTTTGGATGACTTATCTGGGGACCAGGCTGTCAGCCCAGGCCCTGGCCTCTCGCAAGACCTTGGAAGGATCATGAAGGATATCCCAGCACCATGCTGGCACAATAGGCTGTTAGGGCTCCAAGCGTGATTGGCCTCCATCTGTTTCACACTGTTGTGAGATTGAAGTGCCTGGCATGTCACAAGATGGCTCGTGATTCTGCTTCGTCAAGCTTTTTTCTATCTAATCGAAATGGGAATTGTCTAAGATTCCTTATCCCCGAAAAGCCCCTCAGATCCCCTCAGAAGACCTGCGCAAAGCTTGGCCTAACCTTCAGGCAAGATTTTGTTGAAAATTGTTTTGTGTGTAGATGAGACTGTGTCTACTCAGTCTCCTCAGGCCATAGGATTGCTTGTCGCATCTCGTCGCAAACTACAGCCTGTGATCGTGCCGGGCAGATGCTGATGTTGGTTCTTGCTGTCTGCTTGTGTCTGCGTAGGGGGCACAAGCCCAGTGCCATTAGCAGCCAGAAGTTGCATCAGCATCGTGCATTGAAACCTGACTCAATGTGTTCTCCTGAGAGGGATGTCTTGCATCACGTCCTCGTATGCCGACTTTCCAGTGGAGGAGAGCACGCAAGGAGCACTTTCTGGCGGCTGAGTAGCCGCGGAGAGGTATGTGAGTCATGCTTGGTCGCTTCATGCGGGTAGAGGCGCCGGATGCCTCTGTTCTGGGCGCCATAGTACTGGGGCGCTCTAGATGCCGGCGGCGCCATTTGCAGCTGTCACTTTGTTGGTTTTGCGTTGTGACGGTTGTGACGAGCAGGTGCTTAGCCGGGTCGGGCCATCGCCAGTGTGTTCGTCACATGCCTGATCTTCTCGAAGGATTTTTCGGGTATTATTCAATGCTAGTCAGCATCCTATGGTGGCACTGCCATTCCTGGCCATGTCTTCTCTGTGAATCTAGATGCATCGAGTTTGCTTGCGGAATTGACCGTTCTTGAAATGATCCAGCGTAAGCTGTTGTGTACCGACCGTCATCCCTGTAGATTCGCTTGGCGGGTGAGGAGATGCATTGCGAGTAGGTATTATTTGGTGATTCGTCTGTTGTCCATAGTCGCATGGCCAGCCCACTGAATTCCAGCCCTTCCCTCCTTCCCTACCCTCTCCACCCACAAGTGGGTTCCAGAGTTTCTGGCAACCTGACCTTCCCTGTCCAGGAAAGTAACATAATGCAAAACAGCAAGTTACAGTTTCAGGGTCTCCCAGTTACAGCTGCGCATCACAAATTTCCTGAAGTGGCACACCGAATGGAGAGCTCGAAGCCTAATCGGTCTGATTTGAGACCATGCTGCTTCGGAAAGTGAGCAAGAAGCATCTATCTGAACAGCCCCAATATTGCCAGCCTGTGCTGTGCCCTCCAAGAATTAGTTTGCAGCCTCCGCTAATTTTCAGCTGTGCGCCTCCCATCTGCGTTCACAACGACGATTTGTCGTGCGCTTTGTACAGGGGTTCGGAGGAAAGCGCTCTCGCACTCATTGTTGTTACACTACCACAGCACTCTTTTGCAGAGATCTGGGTGGTCTATGAAGGGATTCCGATTGCCCTGAAGGCTTTGCCCGATGTCATTCCGCCTCTTCTCCCTCTCGCTGGGTGGAAATGCGGCAGCCCAGCGCAGAATTGCCTGCAGATTCCCTAGCTCCATGCTGTGATTCTGCGTTCTGCCCTCCACAATCTTCAGTCCGCGGTCAGCGTACATGCAAGCCATATACATCAGCGACCTAGCCACCTCAGCTCAACACGCATCATGAACCCACTCAGGACCCCTACGATTTAGCCTGGTGGCCTGGATTCACCAAACTTACGCTGAATGCATTTTGCCTTATGATGCATTAATGTATCCTGGTCACTGCTCCCTTTGCGGCGTCAGACGGTTCCCATGCAGAGTCGGTGACCAAACATAAGCGCTCCATGCCTGAGTATCCCTCCGGTGGGCTGGAGTCCGTCACCACCTGCACTCTCGAGTCTGTTGCTACCAGGTCGTCAAAGTCTTTGTTGCCCCTGTGGGCATTGACGCTGATGTCCGCAGCATGCAGGTTGTGGATATCTGTTCCAGGTCCGGGGCACGAGGTTGACAGTGCTGCATGGCTCTTTGGCCAAACATGTTCACGGTTCCAGCCGGCTGCATACTCATGGTCCCGCTGACCTGGGTCGATCACGTAGCCGGAGTACAGGAGTATTATACGACGGCTATCCAGGCATGCATCCATCAGTGTCAAGGCATCCCAGACATCTTTGCCGCTGCTTGCGTGCCGTGAGTAGGGGAGCTGCTGCGGCTCCTGGATGTACTGCTGCCTCAACTCGATCCATATGGAAATTCTTGCAAGTTGCTGCTGCCGCTGCACAAAGTCTTCAGGAAGACTAAGATGCCGGCCTGACCTGTGAAGGTGCTAGGAGATCCGAGGATGCTCCAAGCACTGTTTGACCGGAACAAGGGCAAATACCCATGCGCGCATGTGACTCCACAGGGGCGTTGAGGAGAATAGCTGCTCAGCCCAAGCTGCAGGCGATGAGATGGAGAGAACACGCAGCAAGAACATCAGCTCCAAGCCTCCTTCAGCTTGGCATTGTTTGCGAACCATTCCTTGCTCTCGATTCGCTGACCAAGAAGTGGACTGCAGGGCGTGCCACTAGAAATCTAAAATCCGTTCAACACTCTTCTCCAAACAAAGGTTGCCCTGTAAAAGGAGTCCGACTGTGCAACAGATCTGGGATATTGAAGCTGAAAAAACTTCACCAGCGTCATCACGAATCTGAAAGCTGCAGTGTCAGGGTCCAGCCTCTGCATGTGCCCTCCACATCCACATCGAGAGGAAGAGGCTCCTCGCCCAGGCAGCTGAAGCTGAGCAACTCTTGGAATGCCGCTTACTGAGGCTCTTTCCCATGGGCGGCATCGGAGCTCTCGGCCTTGCAAAGTCCGAAGAAGCCGAAACGGTGAGATGACAGAGCTTCCAAAGCGCTTTGCTTTTCTTCTGCTTGTTGGGGAGGCAGACGAGTGGGGAATCAAGGTCCGCGCACGATGGGGGCGGGCTTCCGTCGAACCAGCTCAGCATCCTGGCGCTCCAGCCAGATGACCTTGGGAAAACTGCCCAAAAACGTTCCAGCTCCAGCAAACCGTCAATGCATCAGAACTTGAAATGGGACACCTAAAGCGCTGCTAGGCGTTGACAGAACCTAGAACTGCCTGGAGGGAGTAAATTGAGTAAATATTGTATGGAGTAATTTAATTTGATAGGATTTGACCAGTCCTGAGGTATTGGCCGGAATATTTTGTGGAAGTACACAGAAGGGTCGCGCGTGCCACTCCGGTGGAAGGGCCTGCACTGAGCCGAGGAAGCTGTCAGCGTGGACACGGGGAATCAAGGCTCCCTTCGTGCAGACAAGGAGCTGCGCTTAGCCCTGGAGGTAGGCCCTCTCCCTCCTGCACATTGCCAGAACATATGGCAGCAATTTCTGCTCATTGCGTAGTACTGCAGGCTAGGAGCGTGCTCTCAGAAAGGACTAAGCACTCAAGCCACTCAGAAGGCGCTTTCACCATGCGAATTTCAGAGACTCCTCGTCGGCTCTGGCTCTTCGCTGAAGATCCTGGCGCCAATCTACGGCTGGCATTACGGCATGCAGAACAGCTCGTCGCAGCTCCAAAGATCCAAGGCAAACGCAACTTACAGGTCATATGATCAGACCTCCGCCATGGTGAAGCTCTGGTCACACACGACCTTGCAGCTTGCAACACTTGCGCCGGGAGTGGAGGACAGCTGCCATAATGGCACCGTCGACTGGGGACGTGGCAAGGGCTTTTGTACACGACCGCGCAGGAATCTAGGCCGCAAGTGAAGCGTACTGCTCCAACGCCTCCTTCCTCTGCCGGGCTCCGTACCAGCTTGCCAAGCATCTGGAAAAAGAGAGAGGCCTCTCGATAAAATGCGCGGCTTGCCAGGGCTCCCAGGCTTCAAGGCTGTCGGATGTGCTAGCACTTGAAGAAGCAGGAATGCTTGCAAAAGCGATTCCTCACCCCGGCGGCTGCCAACACCACCGAAGTCCCCAACCTCAAATGCACCGCAGAAAGAAAAGCCCTAGCAAGCCACAGCAGCGAGGCGCATCAAATCATCATGAGCTGCCAGGAAAAGTGAGTGACCAGCAACTCTTGCAAAGCCGACTTCGGTGAGAACCTGAAAAAGCCCAAAAGGAAACAGCATTAAATGAAGCATGTCAATGTTACAAGCACGCAAAGTCACTCAAGAGGTGCTGTCATGTGACCAGCATGTCCAGTGCTGGTGCCTCACAGGTAGAGAAATTCCCTATACGATTACATGAAATAAAGTCCGGGAGATGGAGAGCCTGCAACTTCTCGGACAGGATCTCTGCATCCAAGTTCCCCAACCTGCACTTTCGTAAGCCACTTCACACCAGAGGGCACATCGCTTCACATCACTTCACAGGCATTTGATAAAGCTAGCACAGGCCTTCCAGGGCTGCACGGTGCAACGGCGAGCACGTTGGTCTTAGTCTTGGTGTAGTCCAGCGTGTCTCGACGGAACCTTAGGAGTTCCCAGAGCTGCCATCTCTTCTGTGGCTCCAGGGCAGGTGCTGGGAAAACTGCATCCGGACGTTGTGCTGTACATGGGGCTCCAGGCTCCGTTCGCAGACCTGCACTCAACTCTACAAGCTGGCAGCATGATGACTTCGTGGTCACGTCTGGGTGCTGCACAAAGACGACTTTGGCACCCAGCATCGCCGATACGAGTCCAGCAGTCATACATTCAGATCCTGAGTCCATCTGAGTACACTCTGGCCCACCAAGAAAGCAAATCTTCGCAAGTGCGCGCCTAAGGTTGCCAGTGCTTTGCCTTCGAAACTGCGTCCTGCCCTCAGTGTGTGACACTATTCAGAATAGCGAGCATGGAAGTGAAGAAACAGTGTATTGAGAAGCTGGCAGCTGCGTGATCATGGGCCGACCTGACAGGCTCTGCAGGTCGAATTCCCCCTGAAAATGCTCTGCCGCGGTTTCTTGAAGCCTGCCCGACAAAACTATACTCCAAGGCGAGAGCTTGCGATCAAATCCGCGACATGACAAGCCACCCTGAGATCTAATCCAAGGATATGGATACCACAAGGCATTGTTGTTTTGCCCCAAGCCTTGATGCAAAAAACGGAGCAGGCGGATGCTCTCTGAAAGAGCCATGTGCAGGCCTCGCGCTTCGAATGGCTTGCATACAAGATGCGGCACTACACAAGGGCTCCAAGACTCCCGCGGATCAACGACGGTCAGGAAAAAGTCGCGCTGGTACTTTGGCGCCACATCTTCCTCGGATCCCTATGCTGGGGAGGTGTAGCAGCGTAGCACTTTCTACTACAAGAACTACCTGACCTGACCCCAAGGAACTGGCCAGCGACTCCTTTGCTGTCAGGGTTTGTCGATCCAACCTTGTCTACTGCCAGCGGCAACTGGTGTTCAGGCGGCACATGCCTGGCCTGAAGCACAAGCGCCATTTAGGTCTCCTTGCTCCTTGGTACAGCCATCCCTATGAAAGAACATGAGCAAGTTGGCACGTACGGCATGTTGGATGATGCCGAGATCCCTGCGCCCAGATGGCTGCTTAGATGTTGATTTCTCGTTGTGACCTCCCCTTAGCCATTCAGCAACTTAGACACCCTGTCTGCACTTTTGAGCAATCTGTCCACTAAGCCGTCTGAGGGTCATGAGTCATGCCAATTTACCACAGGCCGGAAAGTGTCTTTTGGGGCAGGCTTAGCCACGAAGCGAAAATCTTAGGAAAAGATTCAGCATCTGCAAGGCGTTGTTGCCTGCAGAACCTCTAATTGACTTGAGACAGGCGTGCTATGTCACGCCTTCAGCTGTCTCACCACTTCAGCCAGATGTGCGCGCAGAATTTTTGCCGCAGGCATGGACAAATCTCGTGGTGATCCAACCTCTCGCTCAGATTCGACATCACATTTGTTGGCGATGAGAGAAGTGGTCCTATGCTGAGGTGCTAGCACGATCCCGAAGGTAGCCGATGCAGTCAGCAATCACATCGAGATCGCGTCCGGACATTTTTGCCTGTCATGGAGCCAACAGGTAGCCGGCTCAAAGAACAATCCGGAGCCACTCTGCTTCCTACACGGTGCCTCTGTCTCCACGGAGGCTTTCACAGTTAGCCTGAATTTGATATGTCAAAGCGATGTTCTGGGAATTGCCGGAGAACTGTCAGACAGCTGCTCGGGCTTGTGCAAGCTGTTATCAAAACAGAAGGCCAAGATGCAAGGGGCTGGGATCCCCGTGAAGCAGTGCAGTGGCGACTGCTCGGAGAGCCACATTCACGCCAGGCGCGTAATCTTCGTTTGGCCTTTCTTATTGCCCCTGCTTTTTGTCGTGCTCCAGCAACACTGACTAGATCAACACAGCTCGGACAGCCTGGCGTAGGGATCTGCGAGCGCACCTAAGCTGCTATGCTGCACATGAAGCATAGCCCTTCCAGGGTCCTCATCTGGGGCGCATTTCGTGGGGTTGCCGCGAGCCCAAGCGCCCACATCTCCGCCAGCCGCGCGGCAGCAGAAGCGGGTCACAGCCTTTATGCCGTCTTTCGGAGTTCAGATGCTCCAAACTACACTGCTGCATACTGCTGCATACTGCTGCGCTGCTGCGCCTTCTGATTCTCGGTAAGCCTCATGGCTGCCTCTATCCGGTAATCCTCGCGCAGGGCTCAGGACCAGGCTCAGCAAATCTCAGACGCACAGCTGCGTCGTGCGCTTGCATTCTTTCGCCTTTCCTCCTCGGGCTGTTTCAGCTGGTCCGGTGTGGGCGGCTCAACGCTGGTCTGCCACTTTGCAGGGAGCGTAGCATTCTGCGGATCAATGAGCTCCTGACAAACTTCGATGGCCTACGTTGCCTACATAGCTTAGCTGCTGTTGCTACCAAGGCTCTCTAGCTTCAACTGCTTCTGCCTGGGGCGCGCAAAGCAACGGTGCAAGGCATCGCTTTGACAACTGAACGAGCTTTTGCGCATGTGGCGCGAGGGCTCTGCTGGAGAAAGCTTCCTTATGAGATTCTATTCTGAATTCTGCTTGCACACCAAGCCCTCCGAGAAGCCATGACAAGAACCTTTGTGCCAACCCTTGCCGCAAAAAGAACTCGTGTGCTTGCCGCTTGTGCCATCTCAGACAGTTCATGGCTTATGTGCTGCGGGAAACTCTACACATGGATCAGCCTGAATTCCCAGGGCCGTCCTTGCAAAATCTTTAGTATCTTGTTGAATCTTGCCCCAACGGAAACATGTTTTTCGCCATGCTCATGGCTCATGTCCGTCGGCCCTACATTGTTTTTGCTGTCCAGCTTTGAATCGTTCTTGCGCTGCTTTAGCTCCAAAATCACCAGGGCGAAGGGTCACCAGAGTGTTGGGGACCACATCCGCATTGCAATCGTTGCTGCATGCACCCTACAGCCAGATTGACCGTCGTCTATAGCTCCCCCGCATGGCCGGCTCGGACATGTTCTAACTGGGTCATCCGCAAGCGCCTCAACAGGACTCTCACATGGAGCCTTCCCGAGGGCGTGGGATGGGGCTCGCCTTAACTATTCAATTCTTGCTTGACCCACCCAAGGACTGATGAGGGCGGGCTCAAAATGCGGTCTCAACTCCAAAAGTTAAAAACAACACCGCGGATCCACCTGAAATCTGCCTATCTGCCCAAGCAACCACTGTCGCAATGCGTGACACTGCGGTCACCGTCAGTTGACCATGGTTTATTTTGACGCGAAATCCAACTGGAAAGGCGATTGCTTCCACTGCACTCCGTCGCGAGCGCTCTGTGGAGTGAACGGCTTCTGCCAGGTATGCTCAGCACATGCTAAGCTGTTTTCATGTAGTATGGCACAGTTTCTTCTGCGAGAAAAATGCGATTTCTCTCGCTTCAAACCTCAAAATCACATCAGATTCTGCTCTATGGACATGCGAAATGAGTATGAGAGCCGCTCCACGTCGTGAAGAGTTTCCATTTAAAATTGAAGCTGCCAGAGCATCTTCCAAGATCACAATAACAACCAACGAGACTTCAACCAGGACCAGTGATGACTCCCTCTGGCACGACCTGACCTGCAACAAGCGGGACACACACTGTACGCGGTGGACGCTGCTGATGCTGACTACCATCAAGAGGCCAAGACAGCCAGATCGAAAATCACTGTACAGAAGGCCCATGCGCACACTTGCTCAAATGACCCCCCAATTTACAACCAAACCCACTCTTTGCAACACAAGCCCACTAATGTGACGATCCTCCGTTTTTTCGGGTTTCCAGGGGGAGTAATGGGGGTCCGGGCGGTTGCCTGGGTTCCGCACAGGTTGGCGGGGGGCCGAAATGGAGGTTCCACCGAAGCTCCAGGCCAAAAGCACGGATTTCGGGCAAATGGTTTGGGGAGGGCAGGAGGGGAGGGAGGGACTGCTGCCTGCTCTGTGCTCTCACCCCTCAGCAGCCCTTTGCCGAGGCGGTCTCGCGTTAGCGGCTTAAACTATTTGCTGCAAGACACCCGCTGAGCGCGTGGCGCTGTCATTGGAAAAGCAGGGGCCGTACTGAGGAGGAATATCCATACCTGACGAGATCTGACACGCGAGACCTTAACACATATGTCTAGGGCATGCCCCAAACTGACCCGCTGCATTGAAGACCAGGGGCAGTGTGTGTAGTAATCACTTTTTGTTGCCATGTAGTGCGGTAGCTTCTCATATGCAGACAGCCACGCATCAATGTGCTTAAACTTCTTCCGGATGTCGTAACCTTTGTAGTACCTTGGATTGATAATTCCACACAGCCGCGAAGAGAAGATACCATCTCTAGCAAAAGACAGAGTGCAGGTAAACTGCATAGCACTGGCTACCGCACGCTCGACATGCGAAACATACTGCATGTCCACGATGGTGGGGTGCTGGTAAGGCAGAAAGAAGGGTGACTCCTCCGCTCTCAAGGTGGACATCTGTCAACACACTTAGTCAAATAGAATGAATCAGAACACCTTTGCCGTAAACGCTTCACCCAGCTTGGCTTTTGGTGTTACCAGGTCTCCGAGTTCTTTGCCAGTTCGGAGTCCACCGCTTCCAGCGCGCTCGTGAAGTCCCCCTCGGAGCCCCCGATCAATGGCATCTCAGGACCTTAGCGTCTCTCGCATCGATCAGCTTATGCAGCAGGACTGATGTAATGGGTCCTACACCCCAGTGCAGGCCCTGGCACGGAACAAGTACGAGCACCAAGCTCCAAAGAGCTGACGCTCCAAAGAGAGCAGCTTGGCAGCTCGGTCCCGAAGCGGCCCGGAGGCTGGAAACCTGAAGAAACACCGCAAAACCAATGTTGAAACATGCCGAAACAGCTGCAAGCTTCCGCTGCAGGCCGCAAGTCTGAGAGTCTGAGTCTGCGACATTGGTCTGTCGGGATCTGGAAAAGTACCTTCCTTAGGACGAGCTTCACGGTTTTCACACCATCCCTCATGGCCAGAAAACACCAACATGTGCAGCCCAGGATCAATGGTGAACCTGAGCTCTAAAGCTTCATGCCCTAGAAGAGATGCTTGCCAGAATTGTTGCGTCAGGTTTAATATCATATTAACAAACCAGCACATGGGAAATAGAACTGGAGGAGCCCCTTGCAGAAACGATGAAATGCCTGCACTGCAGCAAGCAGCATGATGTCCAAGCTTTCGGTCATGACCTATCAGGTTCACCCCTTCAATCCCCCCAGCAGGCATTCCGCGTAGGCAGACGACGCGATTAGCGTTTGTGACCTTCCCATCTATCTCCATGGCAGGTAGTAGGCCACGAGGAACCAAGGCCATGAACTCCCTGGGCTTGTCACCTTTGTTACGGGTATTGTCATTCAAGTGAAAAGCAGCCCTATGGCTGACTTCAAACGGGTGACCGTAGGATCTCATCGGCACCTTCTCTACTTCGTAGTCCACTTGCTTCTCTTCAAGGAGTAGCCAGACCTTCCTTGTCTAGGCAGGGGCAAAGATGCAGCACCTTTGCAAACATGAAGCGACCTGGAACCGGAAGAGCCCAAGTAGAGATTTGCAACTCAAAGTAAATTTCACCTTGCAGTTCGGAATCTGACAATAGGGGCACCATCCGGCTTGATCACGAAAGATCTTGACTCGGGGCTTGCTTCCTCGGCTTCAACAGTGGCACTAGGCTCTACTTGGCCAGAACCTGCAGTCCTTCTTTGGCTTCACATGCTTGCGAGCAAGCATCGCTCCTTGCCAAAATAGCGCACCTGAGCAACTTCTGGGCGAGGGACTGATAGAGTTGTGATGAGTCAGCCTACGGCTGCCCAGCACCTTGGCATCCGTGTGCGGAATGAGGCCGGCTGCTCGGTCATCCCAAGACTTGAGCACATGCTCGCCTTTAGCAACTTGACAGGAATCGATGTTCATGCTGCAAGGAGGCAAAGAGCGGGCCCAGCAGCTTCATGATTAGAAGCTGTACAGTAAAAGCTTTACAATATGACAGCTGGATGCCCGAAACTTTCTGGCGTGGTTTCCCGGGTTCCGCTGACCCTGTTCCGGCCTGCTTTGGTCTGACGAGCTTCTGTTGCGAGTCCTGCGCGAAGCGGAATACATCTGGCCTTGTATCCACCAACAGCCCTACATCGACTGCTAGAGGGCTCCAATGGCCAAAATTTGCTAAAGAGCCGAGCTTCTGGGACTACAGGCATAAGACCAAGGTCTAGAGGCTAGCTGTTACCAACCCAAAGCTCATGCTGTATGTAGGAAACGAAATTTAAATACCTCCCAGGGGCTGGGGTACAGGGCGCCTTATGGATGCCTGCTGCAGGCTCGAGGAAAGCGCGACGCATTTCTCCAGCTAATCGACGCTGCGCAAAAACTCCGTCCGCAAAGACTTCTGCCATGTGAGATTATTGTAAGATACCTGGCTGGAAGCAGAATGTCCGTGAGGATTTTTGCGGGCATTTCGGCATTTCAATTCAACTGTTGGAATCAAACCCAATCGAAGCTGTCATCTGCTGAAGACGCACCAAAAGCGGACGCCCATGATGCTGATGATGCTGTCCAGTCTTGGTGTCAGGCGAGAAAATGGGAGGCAACAGACGAGGGTAAAAAATGTCCGCTCGCCTGTGCCCGCTCAGGGGCTTTCGGATCCAGGGCTTTTTGTGCGCAGCTGACTGCAGGCCTTTACGGCCTGGCCAGTGCGTCTAGACACAAGAAAGCAACGCCGTGCGACCCGCTGCTTCATGTTTCCTCTTTTGAGGAATCAGATAGATGCAACTGCACGAGCTGCAGCTATCCTTCCCAGCTTTCGATGGTGGCGCTCACCCTCGTTGCAGCATACGAGGTACCTGCGGTGCAGCCATGCAAGCTGCAGATCAGCAGCAAGAATTCTGGTGTGCATTAGCTCTAATTACCTTCAGGCTACCGCGGAGACATCGTGAGAGGCTGGCTGTGTGGTGACGTTCTTGCGCTATGGACAACAAGCCTCTGGAGGACATCCGCTTCGAAGCGTAGGCTCCAACCTTTCAAGTACAGCCTACGAAGTTGAAGAAATCAGAAAAGGTGCCGATTGCTGTCACGGAGCAAGGGCAGTGCCCAAAGCAAGCGACCTTTGCTTCGCGGAGCCTTAAGCGCACCGGCATGGCTCCTCATTGCTGTTGCAGGGCGCCAAACAAGTCTTGACCACTTGGCGCCCAACCGCAGCTGGTAGTATATGCTTGTCGGCGCAGGTTGCGCTCGAAGGCCCCTGACAGGCGAGTCGCCTTGGTACTCAACATGTCGATAGTGCCCTTCAAGCTACACTTCCTGCTCAAGGGTAGGCACTCAGTCATGTCATGGCCAAGAGTAACTAAGGGGACGTGTCTTGGAAGCGTGGCGACTGTGCCTCTCAGCTAACCCTGCGCACCAACTTCTGAAGCTCTGCCCAAGGCACTCTCGACTGTTGCGGGGTCCGTTGCCAAGTGCTTGCTGCAGGCAATGTTAGGGCCATACGATGCAGGCCAGGCATTCAGTCTCTCTACGATTTGGCTCGAACTTCAAATTACAGCGCAGGCAGAGGAGCAGCACATGCAGGGCAGCGCTTCAGAGTCTCAACTCACAACATTGGCTGTGCGACCGACTGCGTCGCAACATCTGGCCCGTCCTGGCTGTCAGAGATTCTTGTTGGGCAGTCTCAGAGCGCGAATGTCTTGAGACGTATTGTCTGTGAAAGGCTAAGGGCGTGGCACCCTCTATGACAACTGCCTTGGCATCATTTCCCCCCTCGCAGCGCCCCTGGCGTCCAAACTCGACCTTGAGCTGAAGCCAAGCCACTGGGCGCCCAGAAGCTGCGCCTGTCACAAAAAGCAGTGGGAGTTTTTAACTGTTTTTGCTGTTTTTGCTGCTTGAAGCGCTGAGTTTCTCTTCGAGCAACCGGAAACCGCAACCGCTTCAAAGCCCGTCGCTCTTTGCGCCGCCTTCACTCGATGTGGCGCCCACCTGAATTCACGAGAAGCGAGGTCTAGCAAGGCGTAGCAAGCGTAGAGAAACACATAATGCCACTCTTAGGAGCGAGCTCCAGGACTCATGGGCACTTTGCTGCTGGTTCAACATGAATGAATGTATGAAGTAGTTCATGCCACGCAGACCGCATTTATACTGCCAGGCTTCAAACGACCCACATATCAACATAGCGTGTTTTTTCTCACACACATGCTCAATATTTGCCGTATTGTGCCGTGTTGAGGAAGAGGCCCCACGCTTGAGCTTAAATGGAGATACAGTAGGGAAGCCAGCCAACGAGGAAATCGCGTAATTACAAGGAGTCGGCCGCAACCAAATCACTTCAGACCCTGGCTCGAGTCAGACGGCACGAGTTCGTTTGCGTTAAGCGCCAGCAGACTGGTCGGCATGGTATAAATAACTGAGTGCCATATGGAGGTGGGAATCTGCAATCTGCAGCCCCTTCGGGTCTGCACCACCGCCTACCCGGGCCTACCCTCTGCACCAACCTAAGCCTCGGCGCAGCTGTGCCACACCTGCCTGTACATTGGGGCTTTGCTGTGAAACGCGCCATCTGGATGGCATATCAAAAGGCAAAGTTGGGTTTCCCCGCTCAGGGTGGCGCACTCGGCACTGCGGTTTCCGCTTTCCGCGCAGGGGCGGGCTCGGCTCCGGCTGCGCCTTCCGCCTTGGCCTGACGTCATGTGAGTCACGATAGAGTCGGTCTCAGCCATTTCCCGCTCCCGAAAGACGCTGAGCATCCTGCAGGAGCTGCAGTTTCCGGGAGCGCGCCTCCGGCAAGCGCCATTGCAGCCATTTCCTGCCATATGCAATGTCATGTCACGGAATGTCTGACTGCCCTGCAAGCGCGACAGGCATGTCCTCTTCAAGCTTCGCAAATTCCTTGAAACACAAGGAATCGCTTAATTCTCCGTACTTGCTCCATTTCCAGGCGTATCTATCTCCCTGTGAGAGCGTGTCATTTGCAAGCTCGTCGTCGGTAGCGCCGTCCGGCACCATGGATCCTTGAGCCAGCGCTTCATTGATGGCTTTCATCCTTAGTAGGGCTGTCTTCCTCGAGATGGCTCCATGTGCTATGAGCATCCAGGAGCCCCGCTCATCCTGAAGCTCTGCCATGTCATCCGTCAGCTTGTCCACTGCTCCGATATCCATTGCTTTGGTCTGATCCTCTCCCAGATACACGTTCTTGACTGTGCACAAGGCTCTATACTGTACATGGAAAACCAACGGCCAAGATAGAAGAGGGCTCCTTCAGCTGAGTGTGGCCTGTCTGCATGGCCTGCACCTGGCAGGACATCACTGAGCACTGCTGACCCGAGTCTGGCCAACACGGCCAACACGTGTTCACGAGTGAGCTCTTGCGTGAATCAATGCCAGCATTGCAGCCATGGCAGTAATTTCCGCTTGTTCTTGCTGGAAGGCTAAATTCTCGACGTTGAACCTGGACACGGGCACGGAACAAACATGATCCTAAGCGCTTCATTGAGATATCTGATATGATAATGTGACTCTTCCACTGCTCATACACACTTGTGCGCGTCTGCATTGTCAGGACAGCGACGCACAGCCCAAGGTGTTGGCTGTGTGCTGAGCAGCTGATCCTCGGGCAGACACGGTGACACAAGATGACACAGTCACTCGAGCTGCCATGACTCATGCCCAAGAAATGCCCAATAAATGCTTGGACTGGTGCTCTCTGCTGCTGGTACATCTTCTTCTTCTTCATGGCCTTGCAGGCCACGTTCGGATCAGTGGTCGTATGCTTCACCAGCAGACATTATGAGTGTGTAAGAGAGATGAGTCGACCCTCGCGAGCAATAGACTAGAAGTGGGTCGGATTAGGCGGACGGTATGGAATATTGACCTGCAAAGCCAGCAGCAGAAACGAAAGCTCATCACTAATAGCACTGCGCGACTAGCACCCCTAGAACAGGGTGCAGGTATGAGCACCCCCAGAAAGGGGATCCAAGTCCCAAAATTGCCTCAAGAGAGGACCCCTGCATGACCTTTCGTGACCGGGAGGTGAAGGCAAGTAGCTCAACATCAGCAAGTGGCTCCACATGCGTCAACAGGCGAGCAGGACACAAAGAGAAGTGTCGGTGGCTGGTTGGATGTGATGCTGTAAACATGTGTGAGCGGCTCTTGCTGCAGCCTCAATTGAAACGTGCAGGCTTTGAGAACTGCCACGCCTGCAAAGCCTTGGATTTGGCAGTGGGATTAGAGCTCCTGCGAAGCTGATAGTCCATGGCTTAATGCTTGACACGCTGTCAAAATACTGCCGTAGCTGTCAGCACCCTCCCTTTGATATCCCTGGCAGTCCCCTGCGCCACCAGGCTCTTGATTTCCTCATCAGTCTTCAAGATTTTGGCCTCCAGATTTGACACCTGCCACACTGCGCATTTCGATGCAAGACTCCAGGCACCCTGAAGCCAATGCGGTGCCTGCTCGTCAATGCGGCTTGAAGCCTGTAAAGCGCATGATCACTGCTGCAACCAAGAGTGCAAGCTGCTAGTTTGTGACAGCGAATCCCAAGCTCTTGCCAATTGCTGAGTGATCACTGAAGCATCCGCTCTGAAGCGCCTCCTGAAGGCTTGGCGCTTCCTTTTCTGCAGCAGCAGGCTCTTCCTGATGTGTGTCTTCAGCTTGATGCAATTCAGTTGAAAGCCTTGGCGTCCTTGCTGAAGCCAAACAAACGTCTCATGGCTTCGCAGCAATGATGTTCTTGAGGCCAGGTGGGCTAAGGCTTGTTAACGTAGGTCTGTGCTACTTTTGAGTTCGCTGTCTGGCCTGGTCAGTCTGTTGCAAACCACTGGGTCTACCATTGCGCGTGAATCTGAAGCCAAGGACAGGATGAAAAGGCCCAGGTCCACTTTGAACCCAGCTCGCAGACTCGCGCTGGTCTCAGCATCCCGATTGCCCACGCTGCTTTTGGTACTATCTGTTGGCAATTTTTGGCTAGCTCTATTCTTCTACACCTGTACACCTGTACAATCATGTGGCTAGTTGGCCAGAAAACCACAGCCATTAGAGCTGTCCACGTTCCGGGGCAGCATCTTCCGAATACTGTGCGTCTCAGTCGCTGCATGCCGCTGACTGAAGCTTGTGCTGGTGTTGTATGAACTGCAAGCTGGCTTTCAAACTCGTCTTCAGGAGAGAAGCGTTCAGCAGCAGGCACTAGGTTACCAGGTGCGACGTCACTCGCGCATCTCGGATGATGCTACAGGCATTTAGTGCAAAACACTCGGTGCAGCGGTCCCTGTGCACCAAATCCACAGCAACATGCGCAGAGTCATGAAGCATGACCGAGTGTCATCAGCAAGCAAGTGCGTGTACGGAGTGGCGCAACCCAGAGCCGCAGCTGAAAGCACTGCCCTCAACACTGCTGAGACAACCTCTAGCAACGTGGCTTCCCGAATTTAGCCCCTGTAGCTTGCTTGCTCGCAGCTAGCAATAGTACTCTACCTCAGCTGCAGCCTTGGGTGTTTTTTAGCGTCAGCCTCCGCCACGCGGACGTGAACCTCAGCCTCCACCTTCACGGGCCCTTCCTGCGCAACGCGGGCACAAAGACAGCACCATCGTGGAACAATTGTTGGGATGATTTGCGAGGGAAAAGTTATGCTTTGAGAGAGCTTTGTTGATGTTCAGCAATGGGCTAGTAGACAGAATCCTCACAGAGCTTTGGAGTTGCAGGCCAAATGGGAATCAAATTGGCTCAAGAGGACCGCTTCCAAACATATTCCGCTCTAGGAGAAGCCAGGCAGACCCCAATCTCAGAAGACGAATCTTCCAGAGTAGAACCGCATCCTACGAAGAAGCAATGTTCTAACATGTTCGGATTCAAATCGGCCGACCACCTTGGTACGCGTAGAAATTATCAAAGTTGCTTTTCACAGGCAGGCCTCGAACGTCAAGGTCATGGGATGAAGGGATGCTGGCAGCCTTCGGCGCTGGTCCCAGAGCCGCCTTGCGAAGCTTTCAGCTGCTTTTGCTGATGGCTCCAAGACCGCAAAACGAAGGCGGAAGATTCGCAAGCTTGTGTAGGGATGCAGAAGGTGTCACGAAGCGAGTTTCAGGAGTTGCTCCGACTCCTGAACAGATTTGGTTTTCCCGATCCCTTACCTCAACCTAGGCTTCAGCTCCTTTGACCAGCAGGAAGCACAACTGGTACAAAAACTATCAACAAACAAAGAAAACATCACGCCTTCAGTCGCTCCGTCTGCCGATCATACTGAACCTTCCGCCTGCACAAGCAGTCAGTCCAAAAACCTTCCAACATGTGAAGGTTTTCTGTGTAGATCTGCAAAGTTGAGCAGCAATACAAGTGCAGTCGACAAGAAGCTGAGACAGGCACTTGGAAGAAAGCTCTGCAGGGTCGGAGGGCTGCAGCATGGGCAGCCACTTTGGGACGCTAGGGACGCTTGGAGTCGGTGCTGGCGATTCTGGGGGCCCTAGTGGCTTGGGCTCAGCCTTGTGCTTCGGCACCTCAGCCAGCTCCTCAGCTACATATACACTTTGCGACGAAGGGATCTGCTGACCGTCCAGGTTCGCTCCCTGCGAAGCTGCAGTGCTGACCTCTTCCTGTTTTGGCTCTTTGGGAGGCTCTGTCTCGTCCAACAAACCACCTAGGAGGTCGACCTCTTGAGCATCCAGCAGCTTCGACAAGGCTAAATCCGTTTGGCCGCCATGTTCTTTCAAGCATCGGCGAATGTCTTCGTCGGACATATTTGGAAGCAACACCTTGATGGCTATGATCTCGTTTTGGATCTGTTGATCCCTCTCAGCTGCATGCTTCGCCCATCGCTTGCCCCTGGTCAGGGGGGCGGGCAACTCCGCCAAAGTCATTGCTGCTCAAAACCTTTGGTTTGTGCAACAGTCAGCTAGATGCTACAAGTCTGCGTGGCCAGAAGTGTGCCTATGGCATGAGGCTATGCATGCTTGTCTTCACCGGCGTGCACATGTCTGATGGGCAAGACAGCACTGAGCCCAACAAGGAGCTTCAAAATCCTCACCTAAAGTTTGATACTCCAGTGCAGCTCTGGCGTATGGTTGCGAGTGTGTTCAACTCTGCTCTAAGCTGTCAAAGCATGGCTTCGGCACTCAGTGAAAGTGCAAGTTCTCCAGTGCACAGCTTTCTGCGGATGCATGTCAGCAAGACACACTAAGCGAAGTATGCGAAGCCACGCGT